TACTAATTTGGAGTCTTAAGCAACACCTCATTCAAACACAATTCACATCTCAATATAGCATAAGAATTCAATTACAAAATTATACTTTATGTTTCTGCAAGTGAATTATAAAACAAGTTCCATCTTTCCTCGTTCACATCACTTGCATGCTGCCCTTCCCCTTTTGACTCTCTTCCTTTCTCTAATATTTCCTGTTTGTGCTGTCCTGTATTTTTCGTACCCCTACCCCCATTTTTTATGTAACGAAATTATAGTTTATATATCTGCAAGTGAGTTATAAATTAGTCTTTTTTTAAGATAAACGAATTAATTGGTTTTTCTAAAAATAATAATTTAACTATTTCATGTTTTAATTCTATCCAAAGACATACTTTTTTCATTAGTTTTATATTAGATTAGTGATTTTTATTCTCAAATTATTTATCTTTAATTTGTCGTTGAGAAAAGAGAAATTAAGTTGACGAAGGAGAAAAATAAAACATTAAAGATTGAATAATTTAAAAAAATCATTAGTTTAACCAAAAGCATTAATGATAAAATTAAATTATTGACGAAATTAAATTATAAGAGATTAAATTATTAGTTTTTAATTATTTTTCTAAACAAAACAAACTAATTTATAATTTACTCATATTTTGCCCTCCTTTCTAGAGTCTCATCTCTTGAAAAAAAGAATCTTTATTACTGCGTGCAACAAAATCTCAAAAAAAAAAAAAAAAAAAGTTTTAAAAGGCTTCTCTCTCTTTTTCTTTATCCAGATACAACTTGCATGTTGTTTTATTAATTTTTATTGTGTGTCGTTTAGTTTATTAATTTTTTAGTTTTCATTTGTTGGAAATTTACCATATCATTTTTCCGTAATAGATATATTTTACTAGGAAAAAAAGTTAAAAGAAATATTTTTATTTTTTGAAAATGTATAAATATATTTTGATATAGAGTAATTTTATAGTTTAAAAATTCAATTATTCGTAGCAAAAAAAGGGGTATAATTTTTCTTTTTAGGTTCTGGTTTTGTGGCATCGTTTATTAGTCGTAGCATTGAGTTTAGTGTTGGATTATCGAATGGAAAATTTACATTGCTCGTACACTACTCGCTTTTTCTCAATCAAGTGCTTTGATTGTATCTTTATATTGTTTTTTATTTTAATATACTTATTTTTCAAAGTATCTATCAAGTAATATCCATCTAAAGTTTATCAAAATCTCTGTTATATGGTGATTTGTTATCTGATTTTTGCAATATCTGTTCAGATCTAAATATATAAAAGATTGCGATGCTAATACATCAAATTTTCACCATCATGTCATTAAAGATTGTAAAGGTTAATATTGGACTTTCGATGAAAGCGTATTTAATTGATACCATTGAAAAAATTTGAATACTGAAATTAAAAACATTAAAATCATCTATGCACTCGAGTAATAGAAAGTGAAAAGTTAACATATTAATAGTGTAAACCCCCTCCACCCAATACACACACCCAAAATAATAATAATAAATAAATAAATAAATAAATAAATAAAATAAAAGACGTCATAACTCGTAAGATAACAGATAAATTGACAAAATTCATACAACCATACCTAATTGAAAGTTTTTGAAGTTAGAATGCTAAAAAAACAAAATAAACACTCGATTTTGCCTGATCTTTATATAATGCAAGAGATATTGTTGGGTGCCTACATTATGGACGTTATTATCCATAGACCATAGTATAAATTTGCCCAACTACAAAGTGATAGATTACTAGTAAATACACGACGCCCAACTACAAAGTGATAGATTACTAGTAAATACACGACGATTTGTAGATCAATTTTAAAATTTGATACTCATTATTAGCATTTATGAAAATTTTAATTTTAAAATATTCGAGATCATATGTTAGAAAAAATCTTTTAACTACATATATGAAAGAATTAATTTTAATATATACAAAAACTGATTCAAAAACAAACAATTTTATTTTTAAACCTAATATATATATATATTCACCCACGAAGGATGATATAAGTGGCCATAGTTTGTGCATATTTAAGATCAAGGCAAACCAAGATTATGCAAACTTTCAGCAAGACGTGCTTGCAAGCTGGTTCATTGAGGTCTTTGCAAACCATGCGGGGATTGAGATTCGGACTTGGGCATCAGGTCAGGTCGAGGCTTTTAGACACATTTGTAGAAAAGCTTCAAAATTGCACGTGTGGGTTGCCAGCTCGATGCATGAGCCCTCGTGAGAAAGATTTAATCAAATTTTATTTTGTATTTATAAAATTTCGTCGATTCAATCTAATTGGATTAGGTTTTACGAGATTGTAAGTTGATTACCGATTGTTGAAGACGTTTATTAAATAAAATACTTATTCTTTAAAAAATCAAAATATTTAGGAAATAAAAATATTAATGGCTGAGCATTTTGATTTTTCAAAAAGTTTAATTTGTTAGTAAAATATTACAAATTTTAATTCTTAAACATTTTTAAACTTTCAATGGACGTGGAATTTTGAAACTTTTCTTGATTTCTTAAACAAGTTACAAAACTGAAATGTTTATTTAAAAATAACTTTTAGCTTACTAAAGAATTTTAATGGTTGACCATCTTCGAGTTTTTTTCTTTGAGAATTTTGAATTTTTCTTATTTCTTAAAACTTGTTAGTGATTTTAAATTTTCTTCCATTTTGAACGAAACCACCGAGTGACCTCCAAATTATTTTTATTTGATTTCTACTTATTGAAATGAGATCATTGATGGCTTTTCATTTATGTGAAGGAATTGTCTAATGGTTTCGAGGTCATCTTATAGATTTTTTGTTCATCGAAAATGAAGTTGTCACGACTTTTCACTTATATGTTGAATTTACTAGTAGCTATTGATCCAATGATTTGCTTCTTACTCGAGCAAAATAGAGTTGTTGATAGCTTTTCACTTATGAGATAAAATTATCGATAGTTTTCTAAACTCGTGATTTGAATTTGCCAATGGCTTTCTATTTATGTGAATGAAGTTATTGATTGCTTACTACTCATGTCAATAAAGAATATCAATCTTTAAAAACTTATCTACTTGTGTTCGCTAAAGATTAGCCAGGATTTCAATTTCCTTCACCTTTCTCCTTTGAGTATGGTTATTAGCTTTAGACTGGCTTAAACTCCGAATTACTGCGATATTCTATCTCAATAAAATAAATTCACTCAAATAGGCATAGAAACATAACATAATAAAATCAATAATTTTTATTTCTCATGCATCAAATGCAACCTATCTCAAATAGGACGAGGTAACAATGATATTATATTTTCTCCATACGTAATCGATTTCTTACCTATATATCTATGTATACAAGTATATTTAGGATTTTCTAATTCTCCTTAATTTGCTATATGGCGACTCCTTATTCTCACATTCTTTGGTGGGCCCATGTCAACGGAATGATGACTCTACTAGTAATATATCATGCTAGAATCAAGTTTTGAATGTGTGTGTTTATAAATCTCTAGTTATTTGCTATGCCTCTATGTTTTAAGTGAGTAGTCATTAGATTTTTTTTTTTTTTTGTAATTCTAATGAATTTATAATAATAATTATTAAATATTTTTTTAAATCTAAATATATTTTTTTTCAAATTTCAATGATTTATAATGATTATTAATAACTATTTTTTTAAAAAAATCTAAAATAATTTTTAAAGATTTTATAATAATTAATAATAATGAAATTTTTTTAAAAAATTGAATGAAATTTTTTTTGAAAAACATTGAAAAAGTAATAAAAAAATCTAAAGTAATTTTTAAAGATTTTATAATAATTAATAATAATGAAAAAATTTTAAAAAAATCGAATGAAAAGTTTTTTTTGAAAAACATTGAAAAAGTAATAATCAAAATTTTTATTAAAATAATTAACAATCGTTATAAAATCATCAAAATTTTCTTTATTAATAATTATTTTAAATATTAAAAATTGAAAAAAATATCTATTAATAATTATTATAAAATAATTAAAAATTGAAGAAAACAAATCTTTACTTTTTAAAAAATTTATTTAATAATGTTATTATAAAATCATTAAAAATTGAATTTTTTTATTTTAAAAAATATTTTTAGAATATTTTTTTCTTATTTTTAATAATCTTATAATAATTATTAATTATTTTAACTTAAAAAATTTCTCTGAATATATATATTATACTGTATTCCATGAAAAGTATAAAATAATCCCTTACTACTACGACAAACCTCTAAACTAAACACACTTTGTGGTTGTATTCCTGTAGGTCATGCGGTTAAAATTTTGTTTTCATTTTATATTTGAATTTATCTTAACAGACACGTGAGGGATGGGGAGCAGCGACATGTTCGATGCCCAAGGTTATGTACATATATAAGGCCATGGAGAATGAAGATAATAACTTATAAATTATTCATTTTAGTCTTAAAAAATGAATTAATTTTTATAGTTTTAAAAATTAATTAATTAGTCTCTTAACGTGTTAATAATAGTTGATTTAATATCATTTTATTTTAAACGATATCTTATTTTCTCAATTTTCTCATTAGCATTTTCACATTATTTTTTCTTTTTTATTTAAAAAATAATTGAAAAATAATGTGAAATAGACAAAAAAAATTATAAATAGAGTAACAAATTTATACTTTGCTGCAAGCCTGTCAGCTGCGAAGGGCCGCTGCAGCCAGCACTAAGTCCTTGATGGGCAGGTTAGAAGGGCATTTACGAAGCATGTGACCACGTGAGAGTCTCATCTAACCCTCTTTTCTTATTTTAGTTGGGCCAAGACATCCCAGCTAACCCCTCTCTCTCTTGTGCTATACATATATATAGGCCACTTTCTCTTCAAATTTCTCAAGACATGTCCCTAGCTATATAACTAGCTCTCGTCCATTGCCACCCTTACACCACCAGGCTACTGTTACGGTGCTTATTATCTAACCCTTTGATTTAATATCTTTGCTTTCTCCTGCAAGAAAAGAAAAGAAAAATATGGTGACCGTTGATGAAATTCGGAAGGCGCAACGGGCAGAGGGTCCTGCCACCATATTGGCCATAGGAACAGCAACCCCTCCAAATTGTGTTGATCAAAGCACGTATCCTGACTACTATTTTCGTATCACAAACAGTGAGCATAAGGAGGAACTAAAAGAAAAGTTCAAGAGAATGTGTAAGACTTGCTTATGATTAACCTAAATATTTGCATTTCCATTGCACAGATATTATTTCATGGTCTTGTTTCTTTAGAGATATTCAATCACCATGCTTGTTCTTGCTGCTAGATTTTATCAAATCTCTAATTGTATAGATATGTGCAGGCTTCTCGTATTTTTAGAGGTTAACTTTATCCATGAAGACCATACAGGGTATTTTATCAGTCACTGCCCAGGATATCCTCAAATAATGATGGCATGGTTTTGCATAGAAGCTAATAAGCTGAGAGTCAAAACTGGCATGCTATTTTACAGCGTCAGGAGAAAAAAAAAGCTCCAATTATATATAGCATTTTATCAAATTTTATATAGTAACGTCTTAAGCCAGTAAAAACATCAAATCTTCAAAAGATAGCTGGGGTGATGAAGGGTGGTTTCTTATATATTCTTGGGAAAATTTTAAGACTTCTAAATTCAATTCAGAAAATTTAGGTAGTCACCAGGGATTCCCCATAGATTTTGGAAGTGATATATAGGATTAGGAACATCTTCAAATTAATAATATGACTTAATTTCGAGTGATATGAAAATAACTTTTTATTTGTAAATATGAAAAATAAATTAAAAAATATGTGCCCATATTTTGAGGAATACTCGTGCAAATAAAATTCTTCCAATTTTATATCAAATTCGAAGAGTTTAGTTGTATTTTGTTAAACTAATTACTAATAAGTGAATAACAGATAACGAAGAGAAAATAATTATCACGGTCTTTAGTAATTTTGGCATTGATATTCCATGCTTTTTTTTTTTTTTTCGTTTTTTAAGAAAAAACACGAACGTCCTGATTCTGATTCTGTCGAATTGTTAAAGGATATGGACATATATCGTTAATTATATTTTCATTTTCTAGATTGGAAGTATACATCTTGTCTTGCTAGATATTTATCAAGCTTTATTCTGCCGTGTATTTCAGGTGAGAAATCCATGATCAAGAAGCGGTACATGCACTTGACTGAGGAGATCCTGAAAGAAAATCCCAATTTGTGTGCATACATGGCACCTTCACTGGATGCTAGGCAAGACATGGTGGTGGTAGAGGTACCTAAGCTGGGCAAAGAAGCAGCTACCAAGGCCATTAAGGAATGGGGTCAGTCCAAGTCCAAAATAACCCATTTGGTCTTCTGCACAACCAGTGGTGTTGACATGCCCGGGGCTGACTATCAGCTCACCAAGCTTTTGGGCCTCCGCCCATCAGTCAAGCGTTTCATGATGTATCAGCAAGGTTGTTTTGCCGGTGGCACGGTGCTCCGGCTAGCTAAAGACCTCGCCGAAAACAACAGAGGCGCTCGTGTGCTAGTCGTGTGCTCGGAAATAACAGCAGTAACATTCCGTGGCCCTAGTGACACCCATCTCGATAGTCTTGTTGGTCAAGCGTTGTTCGGCGATGGTGCAGCTGCGATCATAATAGGCTCTGACCCAGTCCTAGGGGTCGAGAAGCCTTTATTTGAGCTAGTCTCTGCAGCCCAAACAATTCTACCCGATAGTGATGGGGCTATAGATGGACATCTTCGTGAAGTTGGGCTTACATTCCACCTCCTCAAGGATGTTCCTGGGATCATTTCAAAGAATGTCGAAAAGAGTCTAACTGAGGCGTTCAAGCCTTTGGGCATCTCGGATTGGAACTCCCTTTTTTGGATTGCACACCCTGGTGGACCAGCAATCTTGGACCAGGTGGAGGCTAAGTTGGGGCTTAAACCTGAAAAACTTCGGGCCACGCGACAAGTACTGGCTGACTATGGTAACATGTCTAGTGCATGCGTGTTGTTTATTTTGGATGAGATGAGAAAGAAATCTGCTGAGGATGGGCTTAAATCTACTGGAGAAGGCCTGGAATGGGGTGTGCTTTTCGGATTTGGGCCTGGGCTTACTGTTGAGACTGTGGTGCTCCACAGTCTGCCTGCTCCCATTTAGAAGCTGCTTCTGTTGATTTATATGGTTCCGTGCGTTTCAACCTTTATGCCTTTTGGTTTTATTTACCTTTTTATTTGAGTTCTCTCTCTCTTTTGGGAGCGCTAGAAGTGTGGGAAAAACCAAGTACTTTGCTTGGCTTTACCTCTGTAATAAACTGCATTTGAAAAGCTCTATGAAAAATTTATATTATGAGAATACTATATTCCAATGGTATTATAAATTAAAACTTATGATTTTTATCTTGTCTAGAGACAGAATGCTTATATTGCTACTGTTAATCAAAGATAGCAGTGTTGGAAGTCTGATTTATAAATACGAAATTTTAATGCACCACCATGTCATGATATGCATGTTATAACGGAGTAGAGCATTTTGCAGGTATCAATCGTTATATTTAAAGAAATTAATTGAAGTTTTTATCTAAATTATTACAATTTTTCTTTATTTATACCACGTACTCACAATTGATAATATATATTGGTGAATTTATAGTTATTTGAGTTTTAAATATTTTGAAGGTAATATCGTGGTATAGCTGAACTGGCCATTATGACCAATTATATCATAACATACCCACACTACCATAACTCATGCCAAAGCTATCATTTAAAATCATGGCTGAAAGTAGTAGTTTAAGAAAACATACTACAGACCTACATATATCAATCTAAACGTGGCCCACAAGAAAATTGAGAAAGACTATAAGTGATGGTACGTGGAACTTGCCAGAGGAAAATCTGACATTAAAATTCAGGATATTATGTGCTACCTGGAGAGAAGAGAGAAGAGAGAGAGAGAGAAGAATTGAAAATTCAATGAAACTGCATTTTTGTCTGGGAGAGAAAAGGCAGAAAGAAGGAATTAATGAACATGCATGTGCCGATTACGGAAGTATCTTATGCTAATATTCCCATCATTGATCAATCGATCAAAGCATTATTTTTGCTGGTGGAATCGGTTTCTACCATTTCACTATTTCTTTTTTATGAAGGAAAGGGAGTTTTTGACAGCGAATATCATCTCGAAATCTAGCAATTGGGATATATCTCATCTCTGCACCCTTCCCCTTGCTCATATCTATGCCTCTTTAATAGCAATCCATTTTACTAGAGTGTTTTCCTCAATAAATAGACTAGCTTGGAGAGAAACTGACTCAAGATGTCATGTTGCTAAGTCCGGATATGAGTTTACTACTATAGAGTTAAACTCTCATTGAAAGAGCATTTGGAGTGGAAAACTTGCACAAAAACATCGATTTTTTTCTATGACAATGCCTTCTCGCTAACATGCTCTAGTTAACAAAGGCATGTCCGCATCCCTGTATGCCAAAGGTGTGGTGAGATGTGAGGCTTTATCTTTGACTATTGATGTATTTGGAAAATTAATTTTTCAAGATATCTTGAGCACTCATCCATTATGATGATGATGATAGAATTAAAAGCTGTGTCCTAGACTCATCCTAATTTGGGACTCTGGGTTGAAAAAATAATTAAAAAGACTGACTATCAAGAAGCAATATTTGCTATTGTAAGGAAGTTTTACATATTCATCCCTACTACGATATCGTTATTGATATTTCATATCTTTGTCCGTATCCTCTAATCATACTTTTAGAGAAGACAATCAGATGATTGATCATCTTATCCATATTGGTTCTTCTAATGAATACTTTTTTAGTTTGAAATCATTTTTCTTTTAGCATTGAAGACATTCTATTTAGTAACGTTGCTTGTATCAATTTCTTAAAGCCTTAACTTTTACCTCCCTCTCATGTACCCAAAAAAAAAAAAAAAAAAAAACAAATTAATTTATGTATCAACTAAGATTATTTTTTTCTTCTTAAATGGGTTTTAAGACATATCTCACATATCATGGTAGATTTTTTTGTATATTAATCTCAAAATTTGAACTTAAAATACCAAAAAAAAAAAAAAAAAAAAAACTTATCTTTTGAACTACTAAATCAACACCTTGAAATTTTCTTAAAGCTTCACCTTATTGATTGTGTCGAGTGATAATTCATAAAAATAAAAAATTATTTTCACCAAGTATAATTATTATATGGTTATATTATAGATAAAATAGACAAATTTACATCTTTGTCCATAAAAATTAAACTACTAGAAAGTTTCTTATGGATATTAATCATGTGATGAAGTGGCCCACGAGTTAGTTACAGTTATAGTTGTCACGACAGGTAAGACCGACATGTAGCATTTCTTTAATAACTTTTGGGGGCGTGGTGCTTTATACTTATTATAATACAATCTTACTCAAAAAAGCTTAAGAAGAAAAGGAGATTTATAGTAAAAGGAATAATTAGAAATCACTTTCAAGTGGGACAAAATCATTTTGATTAATTAAGTACTCAATATTCACTAAGGTCAGAGAATGGATCGAAAAAATTATAATGGAACGAACTGGTGCTCCTTTGACTTTGCCGGCCTGAATGGTCATCTGCATCTGTATGGAATTTTGTCTAAAGCGCATTGGCATAATCATAATATGGCAATCGAGTGCTGGACTCTTTAAACTTTATGCAAGTTTCATTTTCAGGTAACGCTTGCTATTTTTTTTTTTTAATTATTATTATCCGAAACTTACTATCTGTCAATTATTTTCTGTGAATATGAATTGGTTTTAAATTGAAAATTTTAAACTTTCTACATTTTTAGAATCGGTGAAGCAGATTTGATCTTCTGCGGGCCAAAGCTTTCATTAATGAAATACTTTTTGTGATTACATTTGTCATTTTTTTTTAGATTCTCAAGATATTACAGGCTTAAAAATTCAAATTAATAAATTCATCAATATTTAATTAGATGTACAAAATGGATATAATTATCTAAAGAATTTTGTTTTCATATATAAGGACTCGAATTTAAAACTATTTATTTAAATAATTAAAATTTGATTAGAGTTTTTTTAACTATGATTACATTTGCTATTAGATTGAAAAAGTTATGCTTTATATACCTTCTACACTAATGCAAAAAGGCTACTTTTCTCTTTCACTTTCTTTTCTTTTTCCTACGACACAAAAGTAGTGTTATCTTACCTAATATTTCTATGGAAATCACTTCTCAAAAATTTCGTAAATTATATTAAATAAGAGGGTTCCATCGATTTAATGATTGAGATTTTTTATTTTATTTTTCAAAATTAGCAAGACAGTAGACTCTACCATCATAAATCTGATTTTTTTTTTAAGAAAAAGAAAATTTGAAAGATATGTTTTAAATATTATTTGGCAAAGGATATTAGTTAATTGTTCTGCGGGTGCTATATATTCCGAAGGGGAGAATTTAAAAACTTCAGCACTATAGTTCCGAAACGTGGGAATGTTGTCACTTCTTGTTCGGTCAAACTAGCCTTGATCTACACAATTAAGTAAACTTTTTCCTAATTTCTAAATTTCCATTTCTAATATACCTCCAGGCTTATTTCATCTTTGTTCAATGGATTACGTTTCGTTCTTTTTGTGAAACTGACCTTTTGAACTACTTATACTTGATAATAATCCTTAATTTCAATGCTATTTCTATGAGATTTTGCACAGAGACTGTATATAATTCAAATTTTTTTTAATGAGATTCTAAATTTTTGTCTATCTAATTTATGAGTTATACTTTTATACCATTGTTGTTTTTAATGTATCACGTAAACACACATTACAAGCTTTCATGTGGTAAGCTCTAGCCAATATCGAGTCCAAATTAAGTGATTGAATTAATAACAAGTTTTAACCAATGACAACTTATCACATGTTATGATGAATCCAAATTAAGTGGTTGAATTGATGACATGATAAGTTGTTATTAGCTAAAGCTTACACTTGTCACGTGTGATTATGTGACATATTAGGGTTTGAAACAATAATAATACAATAATAGAATTTTTAAATTGGATAAAAAAAAATTTAGGATCTAAAAAAAAATTCAAATTATACGAAATCTTGATATGCGTTAAATCATATTTCAAAGCATGTTAAAATCTTTTACCATTTTATAGAAAGTTACATCTTAGAGTACTAAATCACTAATATAGAATGTATTAGTTTGCAATTGTTTGAAAGGAATGAAGGCAATCCAAATATTCAAATAAAAAGAATGATGCATGAATCATCCCCTTTCTATGGTTCAAGGTGATGCTATTGACACAACGGTTTTAAAATCAAAATATCAAAATTATCCTCCAACTTTATGAAAATAATAAAAGAAACAGTTTTGACATTTTATCTCCAAAAAGTTATGGATGCAAAATTGCAACACTTTTCTTCCTATTCCTTCCTTCTTCGTGCCTCTATTCTTTTGTTTTACCGGATGAGAAACAAGAATTAAGTTGTCCCCCTAAGAAACAACTACGAAAGACTCAATGGCCTCAGCTTGAAGCAAAGGAGAAAAACGAGGAGAGGCTGCTGCCAAATCCGAAGCAAACGTACACTTATGGAGAACCCAACTTTTTCAAATCATCATATATAATATATTAGCTCCAATAGTATAATGTTGTTATTTCCATCTTTCTAACCATTATCAAATGCAAGTACTCTTGTTCCAATTCGAGTCTATTATTCATATCTAAACAAAGAACAATTCCATGCCACATGCCAAAAATAAATAAATTAATTAAAATACGAACATAATATTTATGACAAATCCACCACCACCTTCAATAGTTTTATCTCATAAAATATTCTTAATAAATTCAATTCGATTTGAAATCATTTGTCTCGATCTAGATTAACAAGGCACACCGCTTCTAGAGATGTAGTTCGATTCATCTAGTTTTGGCAGTGCTATAATGTACTGGTCAGCAAGGTTTAGAGCTGGTGTGAAGAAAGAAAACCACTTTGACAAATCATTCAATCTGATATTAAATTCAAACTGAAAAAACCTAAGCAACCCTTCTAACCAACCTATCTCTCTCGGTTTTAATCATAAGAATGGTGGTTGTGGTTGAGATAGCTGTAAAATTTTCGGAAACAATTCTAAGATTTTCCTAAACAGGTCAAGGATATAGGTGATATATTAATATCACGCAAGCAGACCCATAAGACAGTTAGACCTTTTATTAGATATTTTCCTCGACCCGAAAATCTGTAACAGATGAGGGGTATTTGTGATTATTCCCATAGACCATTCGGTTGACAGTTTCTTGGCAGGATTTATTGGACAATTTTGAATCTTCCTTTCTTTACCTGATACTTCTCCAACAGGAAGGCCTAGGTCCAATCATGATGTTTTTATAATGATTATTTTCTTTCCTAGAAATGAAAAATATTTAAATCTAAATAAAAATTATGAATATTTACATTTTTACGTTATGTTTGAAATAATAATAAAAACTCAAAATAAAATTTTAATTTTTTAATATTTAATTTTTATATGAATAAAAATAATGATTAAAATAATAATTTTATCAAACTATAATAGTTATAAAAATAATAAAAATAAAAATGATGGTGATTAAGACTACGTTTGCAATGGTGTATATAGTGATGATAGTTGTGATGATGGTAACGATTATTGTGACAGTAATAATGATGATTGTGATGATAAAAATAATTAATATATAATAAATAAATAAATAAAATATATAATTTTTTTTAAAAATTTTTTTATTTTTAAATGAGAATGAAATTATGTATAATTTTCAATCTCATTTTAATTTTATTTTTTTCAATCAAATAATTATAAATAAAAATTTTTATTCTCATTTACTCCGCTCTATCTCTAGCAATTATGCAACGCGTTAATTTATTAAACGTTGACGTTACGAAATTAATAACCATTCGTTCAAATCAAACCAATTTTGGAGTCACAACTAATTCAATTATTTCAATAATTCTTTAATAATAAATATCCTAATAATAATAAAAAAAGAAAGAAACAGGAAAGCAAGTTCCATCTTTCCTGGCTCACATGCTGCGCTTTCCATATTTGACACTTCCTTTCTCTGACCGACCTTACATATCCGTCTCTGTGCTGTGCAGTTCTTTATTATCACTGCTGTCTCTTCAAAGCAAATAAAAATCAAATCTTTATTTACTACAACAACACACATTTTAAAAAAGAATTCAAATGTAAAAAAAGAAAAAGAAAAAGAAAAAAAGTCTCTCTCTCTCTCTCTCTCTCTCTCTCTCTCTCTTATTCTACTTCTTCTCTTCTTTAGCTCTTATCCAGCTCCAAAATAAAACTTCCATTCACAATTTATTTACCCATTTAAAGACCCGCTTCTCTCTTTCTCTGTTTCAAACTTGTACGAAAACAAATAAATAAAAATACTTGTAGCACTTATTGGACTTTGATTCTTAGCTTCTCTTTTGTGTTCAACATATAAGCTCTAGAGTCCGGTCTTGGTTTCCTTTTAGTACTACGTTTTTTTTTTTTTTTTTTTTGGGTTTGGGGGTTTGGTTGGATAATGGGGTTTTGTTACTTTCTTGTACCCCTTTCTTAAAAAAATCGCATCTTTTTTCCATTTCTTTTACCAGATTCCCCACTTATGTTCTTTCTAATACTATAAAGTATCAATCTTTCTTGGGTTCTTTTTAAAATTCTTTTTTGCTTCACACATCCCTCACATGCATGTTTTTAGGTTTGTCTGATCTGGATTGGATCACAAGGATCTCTCTCTATAGAGAGAGAGAGAGAGGTGGGGCTCTGGTGACTTGAGTTTCTTCTAGAGAATCTTGGTTTCTTTGAGGAAGAGAAGAGAGCAAAGAAAGAAAGAAGCTAGAAGAAGGTGAGATTTCTTGGCTTCTTGGATCTTCTTCTTCTTTTGCTTTGGGTCCACTACCAGATTCTTTGCTTTTTGCTTCCTGATAATTTCTGCAAGTTTGATTCTTTTTTCCATTGTTTTCTTGTGCCATCTGGGTGTAACTTGAATTGGGTATATTCTGTTCTGGAAAGTTTGCAAGATGTAACTTATATTCTGTTCTTGGTGAATAATTATGAACTTGGGTTTCATATGTTAGAGACTCAGTTATTTATAGTTGCAAGTAGTTGATTGTATTGTTTTTTTTTTCTTTTTTGTTTCTAGGTTCTGATTTGGGGCATTGCTTATCAGTCATTTCTATTGAGTTCTATTTTTGGATGATTGAATTGAGGTTTTGAGTTTGGGTATATATTGGCCTGCGTTGATCTTTATATCCTCCTGAGGGATGGCGGGCATTGACATTTCAAAATATGCCCATAGTCCTGTGCATAAAGCCATTGCAACCAAAGATTATGCCACTCTCAGGAAGATAGTAGCTGGCCTTCCCCGTCTATGCAATCCAGCTGAGATTCGGACTGAAGCGATTTCATTGGCTGAGGAAGAGAAGGCTGATACTATTGCTGCTGCAATTGATAGGCGTGATGTACCAAACCGCGACACCCCTCTTCACTTGGCTGTCAAACTAGGTGATGACACTGCAACCGAGATGCTCATGGTTGCTGGTGCAGATTGGAGTTTGCAGAATGAGCAGGGATGGAGCGCTCTCCAAGAAGCTATCTGCAACAGAGAAGAAGGGATTGCGATGACTATTGTCAGGCATTACCAGCCGCTGGCATGGGCAAAGTGGTGTAGGAGGTTGCCTCGTTTGGTGGGAACAATGCGAAGGATGAGGGACTTCTACATGGAAATAACATTCCATTTTGAGAGTTCTGTGATACCTTTCATCTCAAGGATTGCTCCTTCAGATACTTACAAAATTTGGAAGAGAGGTGCAAATTTGAGGGCCGATATGACTTTGGCTGGTTTTGATGGTTTTAGGATTCAGCGTTCAGATCAGAGTATTCTTTTCCTCGGTGATGGATCTGAGGATGGGAAAGTCCCTTCTGGGTCACTTTGCATGATCACACACAAGGATAAAGAGGTGATGAATGCTTTGGATGGTGCTGGTTCTCCAGCAACTGATGAAGAGGTTCGGCAAGAAGTGGCTGCAATGTCTCAGACTAATATATTCAGGCCGGGGATTGATGTAACCCAAGCAGTTCTTTTGCCACAGCTGACATGGAGGCGGCAGGAGAAAACAGAAATGGTGGGTTCATGGAAGGCAAAGGTCTATGACATGCACAATGTGGTTGTTAGCATCAAATCTAGAAAGGTCCCAGGGGCAATGTCGGATGATGAGTTCTTCTCATCCTGCAATGATAATGAAACAGAAAGTGAGGAGCTCAGTGACATTTTGACAGAAGAAGAAAAAAGGCAACTTGAAGTTGCACTTAAATTGGATACATCAGAACTGAGCTCTGAGAATGCTGATGGGATTATTGCGCATCGTCATAGTTGTTATGAGCACAGGGAGATTCCTATTGAAGATTCAAATGGCTGTAGAAATGGAGAGACAAAGCAGGAAAAGAAAGGGTGGTTTGGTGGTTGGAGGAAACGAGATTCTAAAGTTGAAGGGCAGAAGAAAATTGTTCCACCAAGAAGTTCTCTTTGTGTGGAGGAGAAGGTGAGTGATTTACTGGGGGACTCTCCATCTGGAAGTCAGCCTAAACCAGGAAGGCATTCTGTGGAGATTGTTGTGAGGGATGAGCACCGGAAAGGGAAAGATAGCAAGGCATCTACTTCTGTGAGTTCTGAGAGCCATAATCGTCGCAAGGAAGGAGGCCGTGAGAATGAGTATAAGAAAGGATTAAGACCTACTCTTTGGCTTTCTCCAAATTTCCCATTGCAAACTGAAGAGCTTCTTCCACTGCTCGACATTCTTGCAAACAAGGTTAAGGCAATTCGTCGCTTAAGAGAGCTGCTCACAACTAAACTTCCTATGGGAACCTTTCCAGTCAAGGTACCATATTTTCTCTTCGATCTAGTTGAATTTTGCATTAGAAATCTTTTAGAACAAGGCACTCAATCTGTTGCTGTTTGATTATGTTATAATCCTCCACTGCCCTGCCCTTACCATTATATTATCTCTCGGCTTTCTGTACAAGGTTGGCTGTAAAATGGCCTTGTTAGTTCTACGCTAAATAACCCTATGATCTGTATGGTACAATAGGGATTTTGTGTCTGCAGAACCTTCAAAAAATTGAGTGCTCTTTATGAATCTTTTTGATGATATAAATCATATTGGATTTAATCTTGGTATGTGTATGTGTTCTTTTTTAAATGGGGCATGAGGTTTTTGAAGCAACTCAACCTAATTTGAAGCTAATGCATCCCAGTCCCTGAGAGTTGATATACTTGTCTGTTGAGTGAAGGTCATAAAATCATGATGTTTGAGTGAATAGTAATTTATCCTTCCTTATTTGGGTAGAGGGAATTGGTGATCCTTCTTTGAGTCTCGAGTAATGGCTGTGGAAGCTAGAGATTGAGTCATAGAAGTTATATAACTTTTACGGCCTGGCTGAAAACCCTAGCAATAGAGGCTTGTTGATTTTAGTTGAATTCTCTAGTCTATATCTATACCTTAATCTGTTTCCCTGCTCATGCATTGAATCACCATTATGTGCGTCTTTAAGAGAACTTGGAGGTCTTTTTAATGTTCCTAATGTTGAACTTGGATATCATGTTGTTTCTCCTGATTTTTGGCCAATCCAAGTGATTCTCACTTCATTGAAATCTTAGGACTTGCCTTTATTGCTTATATATCTGTACATATATATGCAAGTTCTAATTTTATTGTCTTGAAAAAAAAGAACAGGATAATTTCCATCTTGTTGGAGTAATAATAACAATATTGCCATCATCATCATTACCGTGTGTTATTATCATTATTATTGCCACTGCATGTAGATTAATGCCAATGTTGTATGTAGATTTAGAGATTCAGTTGAATCTGATCCAACTTGATCTTTGAGCCAGCTTGAAATTACTCATTTAAAACTTTAGATTTCCTTGTATGTTTATCATGCTTATGGATAAGCATTGATTGGGTTACCATGTTGGTGCAGTTATGTGTAGTTAGATTTGCAGTATTAGAGCAGAATTGATCTTATGCAATGTTTGCCTCATAATGGAGGACAACCTTGGAGCACAATTCTTCATTAAGGGTGTATTTGGTATTGAATTTCCAAAACCGGGATTTCCATCTAAATCATGGTTTAGAAATCAGCAAATTGTTTCTTTCTCAAAACCATGGTTTTGAGTAGGGGGAGCATTCAGCGAAAAATTGCCATTTTGAGTAATTACCTGAATTACCCCATTTGTTTTCTTTTACTTGACTCGAAATTTCTTTTGTCTTACTTGAATTTGCTTTACCCTATCAAACAATTTGGATAACATGAATTACCCGAATTGATTACCCATTTCTTCCATTACTTTCTGTTTTACATAAAATATTAAAAAAATTACAATTAACTAGCAAAAATTAGGCTCAAGGAAAGTTTCTGACTAGGCAAAATTAGGTTTAAGGAAAATGGCAAGCCCATTAGTTCTATAATTTTTTAAATTAAAAAAATAAAAACAATAACGAAAATTATAATTTGGTTAATTTAGGTAACCCAAATTTTCGTTCAAATTACTCGAATTCAGGCAATTACCAGTTTTATGAAATTTTAAGAAATTTGCAACTCAAATTGGATTTTATGATTTGGGTGATTCATTTTTTTTTGAATAGTGCTCACCTCTAGTTTTGAGTGTTTGTGGCATTTTGACATCATCCTTCAAAAAGACAACCAAGCTTATACAATACTTTTCTTTATTAGCTACCAATGAAAATATTATAAAACAAACTTTAGTAAAAGTTTTAGGTTTTCCAGTTTGATGGCTAGTCATGCATCTGAATTACATAAGTACATCTTCCACTTCAATTGCTGGTGAGTTGAAAACCATCCTCATAATGGTTTTGATTCTAGAGCAAATCGTTGCATGATATATGTTAGATGGAATAGAACCTAATTAGGAATGTGAAAGTGAGGGAGCACCACCCAAGTTGGATATAAATAGTATGGAAATATTGCATGAGGATAAGAAATGTTGTTTTGGCATCAATCTTTAGTTCTGAGCTTAGAAAAATGTTTAAATTTATGGAAATTCATGAATATTTGGCATGCTAGTTTACGTGAGTACTCTTGCATATGGATGCATAACACTCTTTTTTTTACACGTCTGTCTCATAGGATTGGCAATCACCGTCATATTATTGTAAGAAACTTTACCTCTAATTCATGGAGCTGATGTTAATGGTTGGAGTACCAAAGTCAAGGAATAGCATATAACTCATTCCACTTTAGTTACAGCCAGTTATGATGCCTTGGTTTAGTTTTAAGATTACCTTGGTTGACATGTGGCATAGCATATTATCTACTGAGTTAATATAGTACTCTAATGTGTTATGCTTGCCATGCTGAGATGACTATGTAGGACTGATGTTCCTAAAACCCAAATAGTTTCCATAAGAGACTCTTCATGAGCCTTTGATTGATCTGCTGATAAGTTGGCTAGCTCCTTTTTGAGAGGCTAGTTGGCATGATGCACTTGATAGAAAATATCCTCTGTATTGCGAATAACACCATACATTGGAATTTCTTGGACTTCATATCTTCAATAAATGTTGATGCGGTTTTGGCTGAAGTTGGTGAAGGATTTGCTCTGGCGAAATGATGCAAGTTTCTGCCGACTAGATTATCAGCATCATGATTATGTTGTTTGGGTTTTGCAAATATCTTGCTTAGTCTCCCCTTATTCCTGATCTAGCCACATGCTACTTGTTTTCTGATGCAAGGTAGAAGCTTAGTTATTAGATCCATTGAATGCTGTCTGGCTGGTCAAACTGTTAACCCAGTTAACCAGAGACTTAGCAAGTCCAGGTTTCTGATAGGATCATCTATGAGTCAACTTGACAGAAACTTAAAAAGTATCTCAATTCTGCGGAATTTCATTTGAATTTGAGAAGTTGCCTGGTCAGCTCAATTTTTAGAAATACCACTGGACCAAAATATGACAATAGGATTTTAACCTGGCGTGACGTAAAGAGAACATCTAACACTTACTGGAAGGGGTCCATGCTAGATAAAACATCTAAACACTGCACATAACTATCTGATTGTTATGCACATAAAATATGGATGCTATAAATCCAGTTGACCTAGTTTGGCATCTGGGCCAAGTTTTAACAATCATGAGTCGGAAGTCCCCTGTACCAAGGCAGAGTTTTAGACCGCCTCAGTAACATTCTTTCCTTCCAAATTCACTGACCGTTTTCATAAGATATTGGAAAAGATCACTTCAAAATTGATGAAAGTGCTGTTCTTATGCTGTAGCTTGAATTTTTTAAACTTTTGGTCTTTTTTATTAATCTCTGATTATGTTTTCTAAACACTTCTTGGTTACATCTAGGTTGCTATCCCAGTAGTTCCTACCATCAGGGTACTGGTAACATTTGCAAAGTTTGAAGAACTGCAGCCATTGGATGAATTTGCAACACCTCCTTCAAGTCCTACACCTGCAGGACGAGAAAGTCCGATGGTTATGCCGTCCTCAACTTCATCTTGGTTTCAGTGGATAAAAGCCCCTTACCAACGCCCTGGCTTGACTGCTGGTGGCTCAAGCAGTCGGATAGAAAACATTCATGATCCATTTGCGATTCCTCCAGATTATACTTGGGTTACAGCTGAAGCGAAGAAAAAGAAGATGCAGGAGAAGAACAGATCAAAGAAAGCTAAAAATAATGGTCACTAAATAGTTGTGTGAGATTGTAACCAAGATGTAAAAGATGTTTTAGCTTGCTAAACGAGCTGATCAGCAGATGCCAAATACGGAATAGTGTTTTATAAGACCATGATATTGTGATACTGTGAGGGGGAGACAAAAAAAAAAAAAGGAGAAGGATCCCCTTGGGTGGGTGAAAATTTGGTGTATCATTGTGGGGGGTGGAAAGGAAGAAATATTGTGATTCTTTCTTACGACAATTGCATGGCCTTTGTTGCATGTGAACATGTTTTAACTCCATCTAGTTTAAATTGTTACACTGCCTTCTGTATGTGATTGATTTGGTAAACTCTTACTGACAAAATCAGCATGTTTCATTTATAGCTGCTGAGTACATCAAGTGCCATCATTCATTTCATTTACAATTGCTGAGAGGTTTCTCCTATCGTTTTTTTATTTCTTTTTAGTCAATTCTCTGATCTTCAATGTCACCTTCAACTCCTCCATTTCCTGCCACTCACAAACCAAAACTGCCTCCATGACTTCACACTACAAGCCCACTTTAGTGGTGTCTTCTGAACTAGAGAATTTTCACAACGTTACCAAGAAAGAAATCATTTGGCGTCCTAGGAGGAGGGCCTACTTTTTCAAGAGAATAAAAGAGAGAGTGGACTTTTGGTTGGTCTTGGTTTTGTTAGAAACCTATCTACAAGGTCCAACATGGGCAAGCATTATATAAAGGGTTGGACAGAACCATTGCAAAAGAATCCTGGATGGTTTATTTCTTTTTACAGTTCTATTTTTCTACACGTGTTTTCTGCCTTCACTGTTCTAGAAGACTTCTGAGTTAATTCTATTTTAAGAAATACAAGAATGTGAATACTGGTGAAATGTTCTTGAAGAATTGCATCATCAGGAGATCCATCTGCAAGAAGAGAGAATTATAAATGTTAGTAAAACTGGGGGAAACTTTGAAAAAGAGAGACAACTGTAAGGATAAGAGTCATACTATTTTACACGGCCTCTAGCGAGTTATCAAAGTATCTTAATTTAATTTTCATTCTCAAACATTGAATAGTATTTCAGATTTATAAAAAAAGAGAGGAATTTGTCCCGAAAGGACAGTTCTAGTTCAGTGTATGCATTGATTCGATTCGTTGTATTTTGATCATTTTGATCATGCTGACAAGACAAGCGTCTTAATTGGCCCTATGACTATCCTGATTCTGAACCTTTACTTTTCCAAAACCCATATGACTATCCTGATTCTGAACCTTTACTTTAAAAGGACTACCGTTCTTTGTCTCTAGTCTTTTAAGAAGAGTTCTGACCCATCCCATAATGATAATCGTACATCTATATCTCTTCTGGATGTACAGATGCCTTCAGATTTTTATTTCTCCCCGGAATTCGTATAGAAATGATGATGTTGTACAGTGATGATTATGTGTAGATTGCTTTTTGATTATTTGAAGAAAGACCACCACAGACACATGCAATGCGCTCTATCAACATATATAGAAAATTATAGCAGGGACTCATGTCTTCAATCTCCTAAACCGTCTAGGATTCAAACCTCTTCTTTGAAACGAAAATCTCAATCGAAGTTTGAACGTATGGCCCAAATGCAAGATTATTTACACATGATAGCGGAATAGTTGTAATAATATTTCTCACTACTCGAGCAAACATCATGATTAGGACAGCTCTAAGGGTAAACGTACTGAATTGCCATTTATGTGGATCCTTTCCCCCACTACTCTATTACCTAGGGCAATTAATGAAGGGAACGGATAGAACTTAGATCAATCCATTTGTTGATTCTGTTCTGTCTCCCTTATTGATTTTTCAACTCATTTGCTTACAGAAGAGATAAAAGGCTAGAAACCTTTGCTAGGGCGGTAGGCCCCCTGCCTTTTAGTGGCCTTCCTGTTTTCATATGCTTCTATCTATGTTGTCCAGACACCTAAGAATTCTAAGAGTGGAAGTCATAAAAAGGCTAGAAACCTTTCTTCTTGCCTCAACAACTTATGATGCAAGTTCAACAACTTAACGCAATTATTAAGAAGTCTAACTATGGTTATGAACTAGATTAAATTATATTGTTCAAACTCAATGAGAAGGTATATATAAGGGGGAAAAAAAGGCTAGCTGGGGCTGCTGTTATTCATCGGAGCATAAAGCATATGATATGTGTTTTGCATAATCAGTAAAGAGGATTTAAAATGCCGTACCTATGGATTTTTTGTTCATTGAATTGTACAAACACAAGAGTTCCTTACTCCTTCAAGTTCTCCATCATCAGAGATGCTGCGTCGTTATAAAAAAGAACGGAAAATATAGTGAAAGTGCAACGGAAAAGCAAATAACTCAGCTGCCTTAATCTTGAAGTACTTAGCATATATGGGTAAATTGCAAATGGAAAGAAAAAAAAAAAAAGCTTGTACTTCGTTTTCTAGAAATTGTTCATGGAAACATGCCCTACATATCATAATAGTGCCTAAGCCTAAACACTTCTACAACTGTTGAAAGATAATATTGGCAATAATTTGCTTTTCAAGAAACATATTGTGGCCTGTGGGCATTCATCGTCTAAAACAATCAAAACCCAATCATGCAAATTAAGTATGGTGAGCAGGAGATGATTAATTTTACCTTGGTTCAAATTCAAGAACATGAGCAATATCTGTGCCATGAGCAACATCAGGCCAACTCACTTTCTTCTTTTGATGATCTTTCCCTGCTAGATTTTCCCCAACTGTAGCAGTAGTTTTCTTCAGATTACTCTTGAAAGTATAAGTTTCTAAGTGAGGTCCATTATAAGACCCACTAGTAGTACTGCTTCTACTATTTCTCCCACCATTGCTCGTTTGATGATCTTGTACTGATTCATTATTACCGGCTTCTTCCATGACCCCATATTCTTTCTTTTCTGCAAAGGATCCCTTCTTAGTATCGTTGCTTCTGTTGCTTTCTTCACCTCTGTTGTTACAGTTTCTTGAAGGTGCATAGCAAGAGCACACTAAAGAAGTGCACCTGTTCTGCCCCGAGGCCGCCAGGAGTACAGTCAATAAGATTAAACTTGATATATATCTCTCTCTCTGTTTCCTCTCTATATATTGATATACCATGCATATCCAACCTTGTAGCTGTGTCTGTCACCAGTAATGGACAGGCCTCAGAACGATAAAGAAACAAAAGGAGAGAAAATTAACTTGTATAAAATATTGTTCATATGGTGTGGTTATCACTAAATAATTATGGTTTTTTGCTTTGCATCTAAGAAAGTGGGGATATGGCTATATTTTGGTTTTCAGAGGTGGGGCTATGTGTGTTGGGGCATGTAGGGCAATTGAGAGAAGATGGTTGGATATAGAAGCACAGGCACAATCATGGTGATTGCCTCACCCACCACTTACACTATGTTATCTTTTGCTTTTTTCCCTTAGCAATCATTATAGTTGGTGGTGAATTGGTGTATTTGGGTGAAAACAAAAAGGATGTACATGTTTGTTCTTTAACTTTTGACTGTGTTTGGGTATGTGGGGGATATGTTCATTGTTTGCTTACAGTTGGAAATAGACATGTAATCTTTTTATTTTCTCTCGTGCTGTTTTGCTTTTCTTGGCACAAGGCCAGAGGGCGTGCAACAAGTGAGTGGAGAGGGAAAGCAGAGGCCGGAGGATGATCATAAAGAGAGTTACAACTTACAGGATCTTCTTCTTGTTTGCAATAACATTTTATTCATAGTTTTAAATCACATTTCATCCAAAAAAAAAATTGTTTTAGTGGCTATTACAAATTATGATTTATTATAATATTAAAATAACGATGATGTTTTAAAACCATCGTATAATGATCATTATATAATATAACGATCGTTATTTAAAATTATAATTATATTTTTATTAAAAGGTTTAATTTGTTCACTGTAAAGATGGATTAAACATCTTTTCAGACACTTCACCCCCACTTATTTACCATGTTCCGTAGCTGGATTACACAACAAGGAAATACTTCCATGGTTTAATTCCTTGTCATGGCAAAGCAAATGCTATTATATATTATTTGAAAGGGGCACGGAATCTTTACTGCACGCAAGTGTAGGCTTAGCCATGATGTGCACTTGATAATTATCGTACAATATTGGTTTTGTCGTCTTGGAGTAGTAGGGCACATTTCTGTGTTTGCATCAGGCAGTGATTTGAGTGCATTCAGATCCATGACCATCAGGGAGCAAGTTGCTGTATTGTAATTTAGTAGCACCATTTTAACCTTTCTTGCAATATATATATATTTTTTTGGCAGGTGATATATACAAGGAAAAATCTCATATCGATTAAGAAGTCAAGGTAGCTTAGCTTAGGCTTATACAGTCTCAGGGCTTTCCCTCACTTTTCTTTTTCATAACTTTTTTAAGAATGCTAGCACAAGGATACACAACATGGATAAAAAAAGATTCAAAACTCACCACCATCTATTTGCGATCTTTTCAAATTTTCATAATCAAATGAACCTCTGGTTTAACTGGTTAAAGGAGGAGGAGTAGAACCTCCATAGCGTTGGAACTAGAGACCTACTAATCGTCACAAACCATCATTTTGTCATATTATTTTTGTAGCGTATAATGATTAGTCTAACGAATTAAATTCCACGTTATGAAAATAAGCAGAACATATCACATGAGAAACTATTTTGAGCAAATACATGCCATTTTAGTCCAGAAAAATATTTATCCCATCGGCTAAAATATGAATTAATAAAGGATGCTGCAATCTTATATTCTTATAAATTCTAACAGCAACATAATCTACTGATAAACATATATCGATTTATAAAATAGGTTCAAAGTTTAATTTTTATGATCAATACTTTAAAAAAATTTATTTTCATAATACTCAAAATTATATATTAAAAAATACTCTTTAACCTCATTCTGAAAAAGATTTATCTTGATATGAATAAAAATTGATTCAAAATACCTTTATTGTTAAATTTAAAAATATTCTTGCAAATTATTTTAAAAATTTATTTTCATACTACTCAAAACTATATATTAAGAAATGCTTTTTAATATATTTAGAAAACAAATTAGTTTTGATATGTATAAAAATTGATCCGAAACATTTTTATTGCTAAATTTAAAAATATTCTTGTAAATTCTTGTATGTTTTAATGATATGACACGCGATTAAAGTCCTAGCTTCTTTTTTTTTTTTTTTTGTTTATCTTATAGGATTTCAATCACTATTTCTGTGAGAAGACCTGTCACCACAGAGAGAGAGAAACCCTCAGACCACAGAAAAAAAAAAAAAAAACGACTTTGACCATTCCTGAGGATTTAGCAAAATGAAATTGCAAATGTTCAAAAAAAAAAAAAAAAAAAAACTTTTCAAAAACTTGTCAAAGAATCCAGGGGTTTTATTAAAATTACGGACTAGAGATTTTCATCAATTAAATTTTTTTTGTTAAGATAAATATGTGGATCAGGCTGATTAACAAATAACAAATCCATATATTCTTGATATAAACAGTTTGTCTATTAAATAAGGTTTTCTCCTTCATAACTCGAAGTGACCATTACTTTAACTAATTAAATCACGAAGCAGATTTAGTAATGATCAAAACAAAAGAGGAAAAAAAAAAAGGAAGGCAGATTTATTATGGATCGATTATTTAGCAGCTGAAAAACTCATCAAATGAATACAGAAAACAAATGCCATTATTTCCACAATTATTTACAACAGCTGCCCAAGGAGTGTACTTGGGTAATTTAGCCCATGTCTTGATTCTTCATCTTTTCCTTCCCATCTTTCGTTAAGTTAAAGCGGAAGCCCAACGTCGCCTTATAATTCAGCCCAGCCCATATCACTCTCTGTTGTTTTCTTGCCTCCTCTGACTCTCTCTCCCTAAAAATTCACAATCACTGAAATTCTGCAGTTGCAAGAATGATCAGGTACACATTTCTCATGACTTTTTTTAAAATTCTTATTACTTTAATTTTATGTTTTTTTTAAAAAAAACTTATTCTTATTATTAGTAAGAAAACGTAAAATCTTTCTCTTTTGGCATTTTAATAACATATCATAAATGACAGAGTGACTGCAAGGAAGGTTTTTGCTGCTAATAATCAAATATTTAAACTTTCAAGGAAGCAGTTTTGTAGTGATGCAGCCGCAAAAGCATCTACTGCTACTGCTTCCGCCCAATTTAACCAGGTAATGGTTTCTTTTATTATTAGTATTATTATTATTATTAAATGTTTGTTTTTCATGTGTTATGCATTGATGAACCTTTTTTTTTAATAGAATTTTTAATTTTTCAATCTTCTTTTGGCAAAAATTAGTTTTATTCTGTATAGTGGTTAATGGGTTCTTGTAAAGTTTTAATCTTTGTAGGACAAAATTGGATTTGATTGTTTTGGTTTTGTTGCGTTAGGAGAGCGATGGCAAGTTGAATTTTACTGGTAATGTTCAACCATACGACATTGCTATTGTTGGGGGAGGCATGGTTGGCATGGCCCTAGCTTGTTCCTTGGGTAGGTTATTTCGTTTTTTTTTTTTGGTTTTATTGTTTGTCACTTGTGCCAGTCTTCTACTATACAATGCTATTACTGTTCCATTCATTCTCCTATGACTTGGCAATTGGGGGTGGGTTTAAAAAAACAAGAACAAATGGCGAAGGTAGGAGCTTTCTTTTCGATGGCATTTGATCCTGCAGGTTCCGGTAGTTCTTCCAGTATAAACGACTCAATTTCCATTTTCTCATTGACACATAAGGTTTTGTATGCATCAAGTTATTAACTTTGTTACTTGCAGCAACCATGCCATTGACGAAGCATTTGAACATTGCCATCATTGATAGCAATCCTGCTTTCGTGAATAAATTATGCATAAAGAGAGAAGACCCACCTGATCCAAGGGTCAGTACAGTCACACCTGCGACTATATCTTTTTTCAAAGGTATTATGATATTCTTGTACCTCCTATGTTTTTGGCTAACTTCTCACACCATGAAGTTACATTTGCAGAAATCTCAAGAATGTTTCTTTGTGCTTATATGTGTGACTGCTTTAAAATAAATTTGCGTTATAAAATTAATAACACATCTGTTTTGCCATGACTGTAATTTAGGTGTTTGTTTCCTAGAAGACTTGGCATCATAATTACTTGTTTGAAAGTACCTGGGAGACTGCTGATGGTTAACTTACTTTTCGGCAACAGACTCTTGACATAATCTTTGAATTTTCATTGATGGTTTTGCAGATGCTGGTGCCTGGCAATATGTTCAACAGCATCGACATGCATATTTCGATAAGATGCAGGTGATGACTGTTATATTTACTTTTGCTTTATGCATTTCTAAGTTTCACATAGTTGGCACAGTCTGTTTCAAATATTGACTTATCTTGAATTTCTAACATTGCTGATCATCTTAAGTTCTTTTGACATACGAATTTGATACGTTCTAGCACATACAAAGCTTGTGTTTGACATTTTATTATTGCACTCAAGTTTGTAATGTCTGAAGTTTGAGTCTAACTTTGAGGACTAGAGTGATGGCTAGAGGATGGAGTGGTATGACAAAAGGATACAAGAATAATAACTCTGGTAATAGCATACTTAATATTCCTCCCCTCATAGTAGGAGGGAAGTGGATTTCTAGTATACGATGTGATCAATTTGGTTACAGAACTCTAAGGATGACATTTTTTAACCATCTATCTATTCTAGAGCCATCTAGAACTAAATATGGAAACTCGTCACAAGGTTTGAGAAATTTTAATAACAGAATTTGGTTCACATAGAATGATTCAGTATTACTGTTGTGTTGCTATCTCTTCTTATTAGATTTTGCAGTTCTTATTTGCAAGCTGCCTAGGAAATTGTTATCTTTTAAACTGCTTTATTTTGATATCTGAAGTGAAATATACACTGTACTGTTACATAACATATGATGCCATCAGTTGCATGCCACTTCTTGATTTTCTATATGATTTTCTGTAGGTTTGGGATTACACCGGCTTAGGATATACGAAATATGATGCAAGAGATGTAGACAAAGAAGTTTTAGGGTAAGCCACATGTAGAGGTGAAAATATCATTTTGTTATCCTGCTGTTAGATATGGCAGATGATGCTGATTTTGGACTTGTGATCCAGGTGTGTAGTGGAGAATAAGGTGCTCCACAGTTCTCTGTTATCACGAATTGAGGTATTCTTTACAATAACAGGAACTTTAAATCTGTTGATGGTATATACTATCTTATGCATGGATTCTATTTCCATTATATATCCAATGGCGATCTATATGGGCCCTATTGTATTCTTCATTTTCTGAGGAATATCACCAATTTCTTATACAACTTTTGAGTTTCTGAATGTAATTATACTCTTTCTATCAATAATTGAAATATAAACATGTATTATGTGCCTGTAGGTGCAAGCCTTACTCATACTTTGGGAATGCCCAGTTTCATCTTTCTTTGTGGCAAATCTCATGCTTTATCTATCACTTCATTTTCTTTGGGTGTTGCATTTGTGATGCGGAATAGCCAACTTCGAGGTCCTTGTCCTCTAAGTGAGCGCATCCATCCTTTAAGAGAGAATTTTCTTTCTTCATATCAGTTCCCTTAATATTCCCAGAGTGAATAATCTGATAACCGTGTGAGATAATAATCTAGGTAATGCATCTTGTGCATGTCATCTTGATTCCATTATGCTGTATGTTTTCTCCTGATGGACATTAAGGGATACAAGTTTTTTCATCCTAGTTCTCTTGTTCATGTATCATAGCAAAATCAATACTTTTCTGTCAAGGAAAAGAAATGGCAGTTTCTCTTTTGTGATTTCTGATACTAAAGTTAAACATACAGGACACAGATTTCCGAAAGACAATATATCCTTCAAGATTAACTTCAATGTCTCTACATCCAAGCTCGTCATCCATGGTGGTGGACAGTACAACCTCGACAGAAACATTATATGCTGGGGGACGTCTAGCGAAGCTGGAACTTAGTGATGGCAACAGCCTATATGCAAAATTGGTGGTAATTTAACTTGCACCGATGAAGTTATGATGTGCCTTTAAAATATGTTAGAATGAAAGGTTTGCAATTGCTATTTTAGATAAGAGCCACTAGATAATGTTTGTAGTTATTAATCAGTGTCAAGTTATGTTGCATTCAATATAGGTTGGATCTGATGGGGGAAGTCAAAAGTCCGGGAGCTTTCGGGATTTAAAACAACTGGGTGGAAATACTCACAGAATGCAGTCATATGCACTGTAGAACATTCAGTAGAAAATTATTGTGCATGGCAACGGTTTTTACCAGCTGGTCCAATTGCTCTGCTGCCAATTGGGGATAAGTTTAGCAATATTGTTTGGACCATGAACCCAGAGGAGTCATCTAATTTTAAGTCAATGAATGAGGATGATTTTGTGAAAGCTGTAAATCATGCTCTGGATTATGGATATGGTCCTCATCCTAAGTCAAGTGTACCGCGTAGTGCAGACATTTTTTCATGGCTCAGAGGAAACGTGACAATAACAGTTAATGAGTCTTTTGAAATTCCGCCAAAGGTGGTCAAGTTGGCATCTGAGAGAATGGCATTTCCATTATCTTTAATGCATGCTAATGACTATGCATCAAAGCGTGTTGTTCTGATTGGTGATGCAGCACACACAGTTCATCCTTTAGCTGGCCAGGGAGTTAATTTGGGTTTTGGAGATGCATTTGCTCTTTCAAGAATTATTGCTGAGGGAATTGCCGTGGGCATGGACATTGGGGAGGTATGTCATCTTCTGAGTTTCTCAATTATACTTGGAGCAAGTTATCATCACCATATTGTATTCTTCAATAATCTATAGACTTTAGTGTTGAAATATCCATTGCCTTAAACATCATTTAAACAACTTATGTAATAAAAATAGGATCCCTTTTGCTTGTGCCATGTTTTTATTTTCTGGGTATTTAGCCATAAATACATTCCATCTTGTGCAGTTTGCACCCTTCCCTTGGCAGTTAGTTCTTAGTGGCTTTTTTGTGGATTACATTGGACCTTTTTTTATTATCTGAATTTCTTGGTAGTGACTGGGTTAGGTGGATCAGGAGTATCAAGATTGCATATTCTAATAATGCCCATGTTGTTGCATTTGTTGAACATTCTACATGATATGGAAAATTGTCAGTGGGAATCAACTCGGATACAAGCATAAGTGATCTCTTTGTGGTTCTTATTTCTAATATGAACTTTGTGCTTGATCTAAAATTTTTCCATTAGAAGATTGGGGTGGATTGGTCCATGATTTTCAGGGAAGGAAATCTGTCGTGGCAGATGTATACTTTTTCACAAAAACTATCAACTGCCTTCCTTTTACAAGCTAATGCATTAACCAAAAAAATTTATTGAGCTGGTCATTTCTCGATAACCCTTCTTGTTTAAGAGGTCTTATTTACAGTTCTTTTATGTACTTGAATAAATGCAAGGAGACATACTACTGATGTCTGTACAATGAGAAATATAGCTTCTAATAATGCCCATGTATTCGATAATCCTTCCACTCATCAATTGCCTGCTTATAGAAAGAACAAATTTGACCCAAGAAATCCTCCTGGTGCTTTGTCGAAAATGCCAGGCGTGCATACATTTTACAGAATTGAATACACTAATATCGTCACTGATAAACATGGCATCTGTGGGATATACAAGATCACTTGCCTAACAGATCAGTTACTTAATAAACAGACAACATAGATTGTGGTGGTACGACAAGTTTTGGCTTAATAGTGTTTTGTGACGGTATATTTTAATTGGTAATAATTGGCGATGACAAATTGCTGAAGTAAAATTGATTTGCTTTATGCAGGTATCATTGTTGAAAAGATACGAAGCAGAGAGGAAACCGGCAAACATCGCTATGATGGCTATTCTAGATGGCTTTCAGAAGGTGTACTCTGTTGATTTTGGCCCTCTAAATATACTACGTGCTGCTGCATTTCATGGGGCACAATTTATTTCGCCACTCAAGAGGAGTATCATTTCGTATGCCTCAGGAGAGCAAAGACTGCCACTTTTTTCTTGAGCCAGTCTTACAACTTCCTGAATCGGAGTCAACTTCAAATTCCAGATCTTGTATCACGCAATAAATTAGAATTTTCACCACACTTCTCGTACTACTAACTTGCTAATATCCGAAAAGAAAAACTAGGATAAGTGCTCTTCTTCCCTTTTCAAGTGGATATTTGCTTGTATGTCGACTTGAACCCGGATGGTAAACATTAAAGCCTGCCTTGTAAATGATGGGACTATTTTAGTATAGAAGAAAGCTTGCATGTCTTGTGAATGCATTGACTGCCGATTGTTGCACTTCAGGCTAAACTAGTTCACGAAGATTTTTTTTTCCTCTCTTTGAGGATTTGTTGATTATCCTGTATGTTCTGGTAGACTATTTATTTAGCTTCTAGTTAAGCGCGCAAGCTGGTATGCCCTGTGGATATCCTGAATTCTAATCAACTTTGAATGTCTAGTATCTCGTCATAAAACTTGTAGAGTACCAGTCGATATCCACAAAGATAGAATCCCTGCTCGGATTATTGATCTGCGTCCTCGTTGAAGTAGATGAGCGCTTATATATACCCTTGAACCAAAATGGTAAGTACCAAAAGCTGGAGTATATTATTTTTCATTATAATGCATGCCCTGTTAGTAATTCACATGCTGCAAAACCCAAGTTCAAATGCTGTAAAAAGGGAATCGTGTTATTATCCTCAGAAGTACATTGCACTAATTTCTGCAGCATCCAAATCCTAGTATGAAATCACTTACAAGCTAAATCATCTACATCAGAACAGAAACAACAAAAAGGCTAATGCTAGAAATTCTACCACTTCTGTCCTTTCCTTTTACAAGTAAGCCAATAAACATTTCCCATCAGCTTCAAGTGCTGAAAATTTTTTGTTTGCTCAAACAGTATTTGTCGTCATGGCATCACTAGCTAGTCAGAAACTTTGTCCATAGAATTCATGATCTCTACAACTAAGAACATTGGAAGAAAGGCGACATCGACTAGTTAGACCATGAAACTCTTCTAAGTCCATCAGCTGAAGACAGCAGCGAGCTTTTCAAGAGTCAGTGGCTTTATAATGCAGCTGTCTGAGCCTGAGTCCATGAAAGCTACTCGCTTAAATTCATGAGTGACACCGACAATCTGGCTTTCAACACCGATCTTGCGTAACATCTTTATTGTCTAATGGAAGAGCAAAAACGTCAGTATCATAATATAAAGACTACCTACAGTTGCTGCTTTTTCGCTCTATCAAGTGAGGGGTCTTATGCAAGACTTTGTACAGATTTGTCTGATCTATCAAGAAAAGGGGGGCAAAAGAAGAAGGGAGATTATCTGTTTATTACAATTTTAGTCTGATACTAATGGGCTCTATTTAATAATCAAATAATTAAATTCAATGGCAGAAAGACATACCTCAAGTCCATTCATGAAGGGCATTAGGTCATCCATTAGAATCATATCAAAAGAAGCCCCAGCAAGATGAAGACAAACAGCTTCTTTTCCATTTTTGGCCACTGAAACATCCATTTGAAGCTTCTTTTGATACCCAAGCAACACCAAGAGCCTCTGGCGGGTTTCGCGAAGATTACGACTATCATGGACAACAAGTACCGAGAAATTGTTGCTGCAAACATGAAAAAGAATGATAGCAATTGATCTTTAATATTCATTCTAATAAATCATTAATTAAGCAATATCTCAAGACAATTCACAGCAAAAGTTTTCACACATACCCTTTTTTGTCTCCGCTTTCAACACTCTGTATCTTTTGATCATTGAGCCATTGGTTGGCATAAGCAACCAATGATCGCACTTCAAGATCGTTCCTTCTATCACAAGATTGGAGAGTAAGTTTCAAAGTCTCGGCTTGTTCTCGATCTATATGAATTTCTCTCCTCAGGGAGGATGCATTCTCTAATACATGCAATTCTTGATCCACCTTTGCAATGTAGTGATCCAGTTTTTTACCTAGAATCTGAATTTGTAGTGAATTGTTTCTTGTAAGATTGAACCAAGCCACCATTGCATCCATCTTTCTAAACCATTTATCCTCACTATCTACTTCTTTGATCTTGAATTCATCAATCTTTTCAATCAGCAATTGTCTTACCTTTTCAAGATTGGTTCTTCTAGTCCCACATTGATCAAGACTCGTAGGTTCAGTCAGTAGTGCTTGAATTTTTGCCTCGGACGACTTGGTATCAGTGAACTGTTCTTCCAAATTTTTGATGTAATTATCCATTTGTGCTAATGAAGTCCGAAATTCTTGTTCAACTTGAGTGTTATCTTCCTCACTTAAAACTTGACTTGTTATCATAGGCTCCGTTTGTGGTATTATTGGTTTTACAGCCTTTGGTGAATTAATGGTTTCTTGATTTTGAGAGGGAGACAGAGGATGGCAAAGAAAAGTGAATAGGTCTTTTAAAGAAAGTTTTTTTTTTTTTCTTCTTCTTCTTCGTATTAGCTAGGACTAGAAGTCACAGGCTGGTGAGATACTGAGGTTGAGAAAGGGTGAGAGGTGGTTAAAGATGATTGGCAGGTGTTGTCAATAGTTAGTCCTTGTGGTTAATTGTAGCTCATTTCCTTTTTGTAACAGAATTTTGTATTTCTGGCGGGAAAGTTAGTTTCATTGATTAACACACACAAGTGAGTCAATGAAAGTCAGTTCAGTGAATGCCAATTAGCTTTTTGCCATCATAATGGAAGTTCAAACATAGTTCTAACTTAGACTAAACAGTAGAAAAATCTCACAGAATTCTAATTTCTTATTTGTCCAAATTTGAAAGCATCATTTCATAATCTTTCAACGAAATCCAGTTATGTAAACAATATTAGTTCATGGGCAAGATGTGAAGAAAAAGAAAGTTACGGAGAAAGAAATGTGAAACAGAGCATGAAAAGCAAAAACAAAGTATATCACATCTTTGATATTCCGGTATGTGTATATATATATATAACCGTAGCAATACCAACCCAACTAATACATCAGTATTTTAAAACAAAATCCCACAAAATAAGGATCTTCACTCCTTTTAAACTAACTAAGGATTACAAAAGGATTCTTAAAGTATCTAAAAAATTCTCGCATTCTAACACTCCTCCTTGAGAATTTTCTTGGAGACTCCAAGCCTTGACCTTAGCTCTTCAAATTTGGCTTTGGAAAGTGCCTTAGTTAGTATATTAGCAATCTGATTTTCTAAGCAACAATGCATCATATTGTCTTCACCATTCTTCTTTGCTTCTCTGATTGCATGAGACTTCACATTTATATGTTTGGTTCTTTCATGCTACACGGGATTCTTTGCAATAGCTATGGCTGATTTGTTATCAACTCAAATTATAGTAGCATCATCCGGACTTTGGCCTAAATCTATCAATAGCTTTCTTAACCAAATTACTTGGTTTGCAGTTGTTGCTGCAAAAATATACTCAACTTCGCCGAGGATTAAGCCACCACCTCTTGCTTTCTTGAATTCCATGAAAATACTCCACTTCCAAACGTGAAAGCATAACCGTAAGTGCTATTGGAATCGTCTATACTTCCCGCCCAATCACTATTTGAATATCCTTGGAGTTCTTTACTTTCTTCCTTAACAAACCACAAACCATAATCAAAAGTACCTTTGATATACCTTAAAACTCTCTTAGCTGCACCAAGATGAATTTGACTAAGTGAGTGCATAAACTTAGAGAGCGAGCTTGCGAGAGAACATTAAATGCGGTATTGTAGAAGATAAGTATAGCAAGCTACCAATTAGGCTTCGTAAACGAAGCATATGTTTTGTTGGCAACATCATTCTTTAATAATTTCTCATTCTTTAATAATTTCTCATTCACAATCAATTGAGTTGCCACTCGGTTTGGATCTTTTCATATGAAACTTTCTCAAAACTTCTAGAACATACTTTTGTTGTGAGATGAAGATTCTAGCATCACTTTGGTGAATTTCCATGCCCAAAAAATACTTCATCTCACCCAAATTGGACATTTCAAAATCACTCTTCATCCGCAACACGAATTGCTTCAAGATTTCGGAATTATAACCTATAACCAACAGTGTCATCTACATACAAAGAGACAATAAGCTGAATTTCATCTTAGACCTTCAACACATATAAAGTAACTTCACTTTCACTTCTTTTGAATCCTTGTTACAGCAAATAAGCATCAATTCTACCGTACCAAGCTCTTGGTGCTTGTTTTAAGCCATAGAAAGCTTTGTGGAGCTTGTAAACTTTGTCTTCACTACCCGAAACCTTAAATTCTTCCGGTTGCTGAACCTAAATATCATCTTCAAGCACACCATTTAGAAAAGCCGACTTCACATCAAGATGATGAATTTTCCAGCCCATCTTTCGTCTGCTAAAGACGTTAGAAGCCCGATAGTATCATGCCTAGCCACCTGGAACAAAGGTGTCCGAAAAATCAATACCGTACTCTTGACAATATCCCTTTACAACCAATCTAGCCTTAATTTTGTTTACAAAACCATCCGGATTATATTTGGTTCCGAAAATCCATTTAACACTAATGATTTTCTAATTTTTGAGCTTTTCTACCAGCTCCCAAGTTCTATTTTTATTTATCATTTTTAGCTCCTCCTCCATTGCAACTCTCCATCCATCTTCTTTAACACTTCATCATAACAAGTAGGTTCATGTAATACTACATCACATCTCTCATAGATTTCAGCAAGTGGCTTTGTTCCTTTTACTGGAACATCATCAAAGTTATCAACCTTAATTTCATCGTCTATTTCTTCTTGAACTTAGGGTATGGTTGCCCCAATTTGATCAACATCTATGAATTCTATTTCATTTTTCTCCCGGTTCCATGCTACTTGCTTCATCAACTTTGATGTCCCTACTAACGATTAATTTCTCACTTTTCAAATTGAAAACTCTATAGCCATTAGAGGTAGAGCTATATACATAGAAGATTCCTATCTCGGCTTTGTAGTCCAGCTTGTTTCTTTTCACATCCGGCACATAAGTATAACATAAACTTTCAAACACTTTGAGGTGCTCCACAACCGGTTTAACTCTATACCAAGCTTCAAATGGAGTTTTATCTTTCACAACCTTTGTTGGAAGTCCGTTCAACAAATATACAAGTCGCATGAACAACTTCGCCCAAAAACACTTAGCCATCTTCTTCTCAAATAGTAGACACCTTGCCATCTTCATAACGAGTTCTATTCTTTCTCTCACTCACTCCATTTTGTTGAGGGGAGTAAGTGGCGATAAGGTGATGTTCAATTCCAGCTTCAACACAAAACCCGTCAAATTTAGTTGATGTGTATTCGGTTTTATTATCGGATCTTATCACCTTGATGTTGCAATTTGCTTAATTTTCCACCAAAGCCTTGAAATTCTAAAACACACCACCACTTCTAACTTTTGCTTCATAAAGTAAATCTAACACATCCTTGTGTAATCATCTATGAACAAGATGAAATACCTACTTCCATTCAATGAGGGTGTCTTCATTGGTCCACACACATCAGTATGGATCAATTGCAATATTTCACAAGCTTTATAGGCCTTGTTAACGGGAAATGACAATTTGCTTTGCTTCCTAAACCGACGGACTTGACATACATTTTTTCATCACAAATGATCGGCAAGCCATGAGCTAAGCCTCTGTGATGCAAGTGTTTAAGTGTAGCATAATGAAAATGACCAAACCTTTTATGTCATAACACGGACTCATCAACAACAATGGTATAGGCATGCAAATCAGTCTCTTTCCACTTAATTGGAAAGCTTTTGTCTCTCATTTTTACAAGTCATCAACTCACAACTAGCATTATCAACAATGATACATCACTTATTTTGAAAATGCAGAGAATAATTCTTCTCTAGCATTTGACCCACACTTAACGTGACTTTGGCTAATTTCGAGTACAAACAATACATCTAAGATATATTTGATACATATTGGAGTCTCAACAAGAACAACTCCCTTGCCTTTGACATCAACTAAATCTCCATTCTCAATCTTTACTTTCAACTTGTATGACTAATCTAACTCCACGAAATAGCTCAACTCGGGAGTTATGTGGTTTGTACGACCACCGTCAATAAGCCAAGTTTACGTATAGTTGTTTGTTGCATGACTCGTAGCTACAAACAATCGCTCATGTTGCTCGTTGATTTTCAGCCATTTGTGCTTCGTTGTCCTTCGTCGCTCTTGTTGATCTTTTTATTCTTGCATACCTTCTCTACATGGTCAAATTGCTTGCATGATTTGCACTGCACACGTGGCCTAAACCAAGTAATAATTATCCGAATGACTCTTCCTCTTGCAATAAGGACATGGTGGATACCTCTTTTTGTCACCATTTCTACTTCCTTGGCCCTCATTCTTCTCCTTATCTTTATTCTCACCCAACTCGCTTCTTCTCTCCCTTTTGAGGAACTTTTCCTTTGCAAGGAAAGCCTTTTCACTACTCGTCTTCCTCTCTCATTGATCTTCTTTGTTCTTGAGCTTGAAAAGCATGAACAAGCTCGACCAATGAAATCTTAGTTAAATCCTTTGAGTCTTCAAGAGAAGAGATCTTGGACTCAAATCTTTCGAGCAAGCTTACGAGAACTTTCTTTATAACCCTTTGGTTTGTTAAATCCTCACTAAGAAGCCTAATTTTGCTAACAACTTCCATGAGCCTATCTACATATTCTTTGATGGACTCATTATCTTTCATCCTCAAGACTTCAAATTCCCTCTCCAAATTCGGAATCTGCATTTGCCTTGTTCGTCACTCCCCATATACATCTCCTTGAGCTTGTCCCAAGCCTCTTTTGGTGTTTCACAAGCCATAATCCTTGTGAAAATTGATTCCGACACGACGAAGATGAATGTAAGATAAAGCTCTTGGAGCTTTGGCTTCTTCTTCTTCATGAGCCCCGATTTGATTAAGAGTAGGATTCTTTCCCAAAAGAGGTATTTGCTTTTCAGTTTCAAACCATTGCCACAAACCAAGACCTCTCAAGTGAGCTCTCATCTTGACGACCCAAACTTGATAGTTTTCACCATTGAAAACCGAGGGTGAAAGAGATAATGTGTTGTTAGAAGCCATGAGAGTTTAAAGTTTGAGTTTTTTAAGGGTTTTTTTTTTTAGAGGAAGCCTTGCTAGTTTTCTCTCTTAGTCACTTATAGGACCTTTAAGATCTTTATATGCTCGATACCATGTAAACAATATCATTTCGTGGGCAAGATGTGAAGAAAAAGGAAGTTATAGAGAAAGAAATGTGAAATAGAGCATGAAAAGCCAAAAACGAGTATATCACATCTTTGATATTCGGTACATATATATATATATATATATATATATATATATATATATATATATATATATATATATACTATATATACATTCGTAGCACATATATTACCGTAGCAATACCAACCTAACTAATACGTTAGTATTTCAAAATAAAATCGCACAAAATAAGGATCTTCACTCCTTTTAAACTAGCTAAGGATTACAAAAGGATTCTTAAAGTATCTAGAAAACTCTTAGATTCTAACAAGTTATTTCAACATTGGAATGCGAGTTTTTCTACTTTTATCGGGAAAACAAGTTAATTTTTGGGCAAGTAATTAATCTGGCAAATATGTGGTTAATCATTTTCAAACAACTGCTTGAAAGGAATCCAAATCAAACGCTGTAAAAACGGAATCAGCATCACGGTATGGTTGTCATTTCTGCAAATAGCTAAGAATGCAAGACTAACTAACCAGCTGAAATGATCAACATCACAACAAAACCAATTAATACTAATAATAAGAATTTCTACGACTTCCGTCCTTTTCTTTTACAATTAAGTCAATACATGAGTTCCAAGTCAGCTTCAAAAACAACCATTCATTTATCTTCATAGAGTTAGCTACTCAGAACTCAGAAGCTTTATTCATAGAGTTCATCTCTACAACGAAGAACCTTCAAAGAAGTAACTCTTTTAAGTTTTGATGCGTAGGTCCTTCTTCAATCCATGAGTGCGGGGAATAGGGCATTGATCTTTCCAGGAGTCAGAGGCTTTTCAATGTAGGTGTCTACGCCTGCATCAATAAAAGCTTGTTGCACGGTTTTATCGTAGACGCCAACAATGTAGCTGCTAACGCCCATCTCGATTAACTGCTTGGTTGCCTAACGCATGAGGACCAAGTATCAATATCATCATCGCATATTACTTTTAAGGGGAACTGAAATTTCATCAAGCAAGCAGATACTATAACATTTTTTGTGCTTCGACAATTAAACTAAAATGGCCTCAGAATCATGAAGAATCTACTTTCAAGTTTATTCAGCACCTATCTATTTTATCATAATCAAGATCAGATATCTACATCGCTGCCTTTACACAGGATTTTCTACAAATTCGTAATATTGAATAAGTTTATTTCTGATTTATTAAAACTGGAAAAAAAAACTTTCTCTGTAATCACATTGACATACCTCAATTCCATCCATGATGGGCATTAAATCGTTTATCAAAATCATATCAAAGGAAGCCCCAGCAAGATGAAGATAAACAGCTTCTTTTCCATTTTTTGCAACTTGAACATCCATTGGAGACATAATTTCCGCATCAATAGACATGAAGAGTCTGCGAAGGGTTTCTCTATCATCACTGCTATCATCGACAACAAGCACAGAGTATTTGTTTCTGTAAACATAAAAATAAAAATCATTGCAATTGATCTTTAACATTCAAAGTGAGAAATCATTAATTTAAGAATATATCAAGAATTCACAGTAATTTTCACACTTACAACTCTGACTCCGAGTATCTACTTTTAGCACTCTTCGTCTTCTGATTCAGCCATTGATTCACATAAGCAATCCTTGATCTTACTTCAAGATCGTTCCTTCTATCACTAGATTGAAGAAAAAGTTTAAAAGACTTGGCTTTTACTATATCTATATTCAGTGCTTTGATTTCTTCCCTCAGGTAGAAATCATTCTCTAATACACACACCTTCTGATCGACCTTTGCAATGTACTGATCCAGTTCTGTAGCTAGAATCTGAATTTGCTTGCGATCTTTCTGAACCATCGACATATGGTTTCCTGTAAGATCGGAAGGAGCCACCATTGCATCAATCTTTGTGAGTCCTTTATTCTCAGTAACTTCTTCTTTCTTGAATTCATCAATCTTTTGTATCCCTATCAGCAATTGCCTTGCCTTATCAAGATGATTTGTTGCGATACAAGAATCATGAGATTTCCTTGCTTCACTCAGTACTAAAGCTTCAATATCTGCCTTGAAGGACCTGGCAGCAGAGATCTTTTCTTCTAAATTTGTGATCCAATTGTTCAGTTGCGCATGCAAAGTCTGAATTTCAAGATCAATTTGAGTGTTATCTTTTTCTGAAACCTGAGTTGCCATTGATGTTCTAGGTGGTTTTGCCAGCATCGATGAATTAATGGTTTCTTGGTTGAGAGAGAGAGAGAGAGAGAGCTAGAGAGCGAATCAGAAAGAAAAGGGGATGGCTATTTGTTTCTGTTGGCTAGGAGAAAAGTGGTTAAGTTCACATGTGGGTGAGATATTAGAGATTGATAAATGTTGACAGATGGGTAAAGATAAATGGCAGGTTTGGTCAATAGTTTGTTGTTTTGGTCAGTAGTAACTTTTTGTTTTTCTTTTGTAACAGAATTATGAGGTTCTGGCGGGAAAGTTTCATTAACCCTCTAAGGCAATGAGTATGGATTTTAGTGAGAGGGAAATTCATGACCAAAACAAAGGTTCTTGTGCAGACTAAATAGTTGAAAATCCTACCAATTTTTTAAAGTTACGCTATTAGATGAGGTTTTAAGAATACTTTATAAAATGATGAAATTTAAATTCATAATGATTTGTTTATCAAATCTTTAACACTATGTCAAAAGATTATTTCAATTTAAAAATTTAAATTCTTAAATAAGACATCAAAAATAATTTTATAGTACTTTCTTATACTTTTGACTTTTTATAGAAAAGATCGTTTCGTAGTCCTCAATTAGAAATATTCTAATGCTTTTGACTTTTTATAGAAAAGATCGTTTCATAGTCCCAATTAGAAATATACTTATTTCATCATTATTGGGAAAAAAAGGAGTTTCTCTGTTTATAACCAAGGCATGGAATATGGATAAATAATAGTTAATGGGTTACTACTTTAATCTGTTCTTATAAAATAAGCTAATTTTCAATATGTCCTTAAAAAAAGTCTCTAATTTATTATTATTATTTAAACTGGTTTCTAATCTATCCAATTAGTAAAAAAATTCAAAAATTTTTGGTCAAATTAAGCATGTAATTTGCACATAATAATTGATTTAACAAAAAATATCTTTGTTACTTGCCATAAATTATCTATATTTACTAATATAAAAATTAATTTCTAAAAATTGATCGAAAATTTTGACCAAAATGATAGATTAGAAATCAATTTAAATAATAAAAACATGTTGTAGGTTTTTTTTTATAAAAAAAACATAGATTGAAAATTTGACCTATTTTATAAGGACATGTGATGTTATTAATCTAATATAATTAGCACAAAGGATGTTATTTATCATGGTTTATTATTGTTTCAAATAGTGGTCGCAGTTAAAAAAATAGTCATGATCCCAGTAGTAAAATAATGATCGCCGCAATCGATGTTATGAATACATTAGCAACAATTAATAAATTTATTTTAATTCATATATTTTTAATAGTTTTACTAATTAAACAAATAATGTAAGTAATTAACTTCAATATCATTAGAAATTTAGAATCGTGTAGGCCTAATACAAATATTTATAACATTAAATTACACAAAAGGAAAGTATTAAAAAAATGCATTACCTATAAAATTAATAATAAATTCTTTCGAAAATTAACAAAAAAATCGATAAAACTAGTTTAAATTGAAAATTATCTTTATAAATTCTCTATTTCCCAAAATAATATTTAAAATTTTCCATTTTTGGAGGATTGGTTCCCTATTCCTGCGGCTGAGAAGACTTAAGCTCCCCCAATCAACCTCTGAAAAAAAAAACAAAGAAAGCCTTTGGCCCTTTTCATAATAATAAGGTAAGCTCCAGAACCAGCAAAAATGCCCAATCCTATATATGTGATTTTGTAAGAAAATGTAAAGTTTAAAACTAATTGAAACCTGAGGGAGAGAGTTGACTATTGAGTTCTGAGAGCTTAAAATGATTTTATGAGGCATGAATGAAATTGAAAATCACATGATATTTTAAATTGGAAGAGGATGCATTAATTTTCTTTCAACATTTGGTTGCATGCAATCAAATTCAAAGGCCGCCGGCCAAGCCGATGAATTTGTTTTCACGCAACCAAATTCAAAAGCTAAATAAATTAATTAGTCCTTTGTATTTTAAAAAGTAACAATTTAATATTTTTATAAGTGTTGATTATGTTTAATGTAGTATATTTTATTTCATAAATTATTTTTTCCTTTTTTCTAATTTTTTTTTTAAAAAAATAAATTAGAAAATAACATAAAATTAAAGAAAATGACTAAATAATAGATTTTAAACGAAGAAGGACCAACTAACTATTTTTTCAAAATAAAGGGAATAATTTATAATTTACTCAATTAAAGCCTGCATTTGCAGGCCATTGAATCTGTGCACTGTGGAAGCAAGACAGACAACCCAAAATTTAGTGGAATAATAAAGAGTAAATTATACATTAGCCCCTTAGTTTTGATAAATGAATTAATTAGTCCTTAATACTCTAAAAACTAATTGTTTAATCTTTTGATAAGTATTGATTACATTTAATGTAATATATTTTATTCCAAAAAATGTTTTATTTTTTCATGATATAAATTTATTTTTTTCCTTTTTTCTGTTTTTTAAATAAATTAAAAAATAATATAAAATGAACAAAAATAACTAAATTATTGATTTTTGAAATGAAAAGTGCTAACTAAGTTGTTTTTTCAAAATAAAAAGACTAATTTATAATTTATTTAATCAAAGCGTGCAAATGCAAGTCATTGATTCTTATTCTCCGAATGAAGTATAATCTTTACGTGGGTTGGGTCTCTGGCTTCTCTGTTCTCTTCCTCCTTGGCTGAATTTTAGCGCTAAAGTGGATGAATTTCTGTTTTTTTTTTCTTTTTTTGTTAAATATGTGTAACGCCGTTATCTTTCTGAAATAGCATCGGATCACCCATATCACTAAATAATGGTAACGAAAAGCCCTGATGCCATTATATAACGGCAATTACGTAAAACTATGTGATCAATACTTTTTGGCCATAATCTTACCCAGCAGCCACTTACAATTTCAAGCAGTTTGTTAAAAGGGATAATCTTCAAAGACTAACCAGTACAGTAATCAACATCAGAACAAAGGCATATAAAACTAACAATACAACTTTCTTATGCCGTTCTATCTAAAGTCGGTCTTGTCAAAACAGTGGCTGAGACAAAGTGAGACAATAGCTAAAAATAACTCAGGCACTTCCCAAGTAAGCCAATTCAGCATTCAAGCAAATTGTTCTCTCTGTCATGTCTTTATATAGACTCCTCTGACTCGTTACACTTTGCTCCAAACTACATCCAGACCAGAGTTCACATCTCGATAACAAATAAGAAGCGATGAAGGGAGGTCATATAGGCCAACTTTAGAATCTTTTGGTTCTTTTCCTGCTAGTGGCTGAACTCTGTGAGCTGCCCATGGCTTCATCAAGCATCAATTTCTGCCTTTTTCTTGACCTGTGAACGTGGAAAAAGATAAACATTTTTCTGAAGTTCATTGTGTACTAAAATTACAAACATGGTTTTTGGAATCGAAGTCAACAAGTTAATTCATCTCCACTCAGCAAAAAAATGAAAAATACTAGTAACAAAAGAAGCTAAAATATGATCCGAAACTGAACAATAAAGCATAGTGAAAATTCTAACCAGTACTCCTCTGTGTCTCCACCGTCACGCATCTTACTAGGCACAGTCTTTTCCTTTCCTTGATCCCCAGAATGATCAAATGCAGTACAATTGTCTTCTTCTTTCTTGGATTCATCAATATCAGTTATATTTGATGGAATAGTACTTGTGAAAAACTGTTCGGTCATATTAGATAAGGCTTCTTTCAAAAAGATTGAACGTTCCCTGTTTTTTTTATGCAACTTAATTACTGATCTATTGAAAATACACAATATTGTATAAGATTCAAGATACCCAAAGAACTACCTGGCGTTGTCCAAGCCTTCATATAGATCAGCCTTGACTCGCTCAATATCCTCAGGTAAGGGATTCAAAGAACCAGGAAAGGCATCCGCTGAAATTCCAAGAGCAGTATTCATCTGTTGCTCAAAGCTCCTTTGAAAGCTAGACTTACAGCGATCAGAAGAAAAGCGTTGTAAGAAATTCACCACGTCTGATCCACGGGCTACTAGAGAGCTGCTTCTTGTAAGATTGGACTTGCTTGAAACCGGCATTGCAACAACCAGCCCTTTATTTTCATGACTGTCTTCTTCTGTCTTGAATTTATCAATCTTCTGATTCAGCCATTGCATTGCTTTGTCAATCTTTGCACGTATTTCTTGATCAAGATTTTTTCTTGCTGTCACCAATGCTTCAATTTCTATCTGGAACGACTTGCCAGCAATGATTTCTTTGGAGTACTGATCACTTTTTTCTTGTAATTTAGCAATGAAATGATCCATTTTTGAAAGTAATATCTTAGTTTCCATATCAATTTGAGAGTTATCTTTTTCAGCCATTGATACACAGTTTCTTTCTTCGGGAAGAAAGAGAGAACTAAATTAGTATTCTGATATAGAACCGCCCAAATTTGGGGTTTTGAAGAGCGGTTCTTTCTGTTGAGATATTGTGATTGATTCACATGCAGGTGATATTTGGTAGAAAACAGTTATATGGAGAAGGTAGAATGATTAAATTTTTATTTATTTGTTTGTATTCTGAGAGAGAAACGCCAACTTTTGGGCCTATGCCCAATATTTCGAAGGTGCTGAAACTTGAAAGGGGCCATAAGCCCCTAACTCCTCCTGAAGAAAAAGAAAACGAAAGAAAAGGAGGAAAAGCAGAGAACTTTTTATAGTTCCTTATGATGGCAATAAAAGCTAACTACTTCAGCCATTACGGGGTTTCGTTTTCAACGCCAAAAGGAAATGAACTCCATTTTCTGTTGTTATAGTTCCTGTTCTAGCGAAAACAAATCATTTAGGAACACTGATGATGCCTTAGCTTCCTTCAATTACGTGCTTCGCATGCATCCTCTGCCTTCTAATATCGAATTTGGTAAATTATTGTCTGCAATTGTCATTCAGATCTTGAATATATAAATGATTCGGTCCTGCAAGTAAAGTATCAATTTCAAGATCAGTTACAACCCAGACATTGTAACTCTCCGATCGGTGTCTCGAACAACACGATCATCATCAACAATAAGTACAAAGAAAATATTGCTGTAAATATAGAAAACATACCAAACATTATGATCTCTACTAATTATGATGATAGCGCATCAATCTCTAGTTAAGTCTCCACCCTCCTCTGACTCCTACATTCAGTTCACAATTCATTTTATCTTCTAGGTCTGACTCCTACAATTGAACCAACTTTTAGTTTCAATTTACTTAACAAATTAATCTAAGATCTTAAGGAATACTGAGGTAACAAATAATTGATCTAAGCTCAAAACATGGATGCTGAAAATCGCTCAGTTTCCCATCTGTATTTTCTCACCCAGTTGGCTTTATCCCAGCCAATAAAGAACCCATCTTCCTTCACCATCCAATGGTATACTGACACGTGTCAATTAGGACTCACACTGAAACCTTACTTAAAAAACGAAATTCAAGAAAAACCATCTGAGAATGCAAAAAAGTTGAAATATTGAAAAAGACGGGAATTTGATCGTTGGATATCTGTTACTTTAAATTGGAGACATGAACTTTTGCATAATTGGATCTCCAATTAGGCCATTTCCTAATAAGCTAGCTAATTCTGCTATATATTAGCGTATCAATCTCTAGTTACGTCTCAACCCTCCACTGGCTCCTAAATTAGTTTTACAATTAGTTTTACCATAAAGTAAAATGAACCAATTAGGTCCAAAAAAGTGCATCCGTCTGAATATTGTGGCAGAATCAGATAAAAGGAATTCAAATGCCCCAAAGACCAAACGCGCCTTTTTGTTCATTTTTGCAAATCATTTGCCACAGAAAACCAATATTTTCCCTTCTACATTGGAAGCAAGCAGGGATCATCTTTACATTCCAATTTGTTTCCTCGCTAACTAAATCTGAGTTTCTATCAGATCAATGAAAACTAACAATGACCAGGCAAATGATCAGCTAGCGTCTATGAAACCAATACCATATCATCTTGGTCTAGCTAGTCAGAAACTTTATTGGGAAATAACGCAAACCAATGAGACCTAGAAACAGAAGGTAGCACAGAAAGCAGCGAGCTTTTCAAGATTCAGTGGCTTTTTAATCCATTTGGTTGCTCCTGAGCCCTTGAAAGCTTGTTTCTCAGATTCAGAACTGACACCAATGATCTTGCTCCCTACACCCATCTCACGTAACTTCCTCGTTGCCTGTCAAATCAGGAGTACTAAATGTCAACATGATAATATGGACATTTTTAAGAGGTGTTGGAATATTATCAGCCAAGAAGATATTTACAAATTTGTGCAAACCAAAATGGCCTAGGGATTATCAAGAATCTACTTTCAATTCATTGATGAGTTCCAATCAAGATCAGATTCGTACCGGCAGTTGTTTCCTTTTCACTCTATCAAGTTGGTCGTTCTTATGTAGAACTTTGTACGAATTTATAACCTCTAATTACATGCTGAATTATTAAGAAAATAAAATAATAAAATCTCTCTCATTCCAATTTTAGCATGCAATTATTGGGCCTTCCAAAAACAAACTCATCCTGAACAGTTGAACGTCAAAAAAACATATACCTGAATTCCAGTCATGACGGGCATTTGATTGTCCATAAAGATGAGATCAAAAGAAGCCCCAGCAAGATGAAGATAAACAGCTTCTTTTCCATTCTTGGCCTCTTGAACATCGATTATAAACTCCGTTTGTGCCCCAAAAGACATTATCGCTCTCCGATTGATGTCACGAATAACAGGATCATCGTCAACAATAAGCACAGACAAATCAAAGCTGTAAACATGTAAAAGACACCAAAGGTTATGTTCTCTAACAATTTGTTCTGAAGACAATAAAAGTTTTGACGCCTACTAGTCTGGGGCAGCACTAATCGGTTCCTTATGATTCAGCCATTGCCTCACATTGTCAATCTTCTCGCTCCCTGTATCACCAGATTGATGAAGACTCAACCTCAGTTCCCTGGCTTCACCTCGATCTTTCTTCAGTTCTTGGATTTTTGCCTCAATTGTACTCTCCAAAACTTGCCTCTTTCCATCAAAGTTTGCAATATACTCATCCAATTCGTTTACAAGATTCTGAATTTCTCGGTCAATTTGAGTGTTATCTTGTTCAGCCATTAATGAATTAAGTGTTTCTTGATTTTGAGAAAGAGAATTGAATGAGTTGTGGAGGTGCGTGTGAGAGAGGAGAGCGCCAAAATGTGGTCTTTAAAAGATCGGTTATTTCTGTTACGGGGAAGATTGGGTAAGGTTACATGAGGGTGATGTTGAGGTTGACAAATGGTGACAGATGGCCAAAGGTAAATGGAAGGTTAGTTGCCTAATTATTTCCTTCTGTAACTATAATTTTTGGGCGGAAAAGTTATGTTTCATTCGCTAACTAACCCAAGGAAGTCTCGATTCCGGACATTGGTTAATATCATGAAATAATTTTCCAAAGGAAGTTCATATGGACGAATTAGACCCAAACAAAATGTGATATCGATTAGTGTTACATTAGAGTTGCTATGTAATCATTGGACCCAATTTGCAAACCTTATAACTTACTTTACTTCCAAGAAAAGGAAAAGAATACTATGAAAAAATGAAAAAAGAAAAAAAAATCCGAGATCTACTTTGGAGGAAAAAATACCAATATATATATATATATATATATATAGACTACAGGTTAAAAAATTTCAAAAAAATCCAAAGGAGTTAAAAACTTAACTAGCATAAAAGTTCTCAATCTCAATTCGGTGGATATATCATCCTCAGTCCCTGATATCTTGACAAATTCTTCTTCTTTGGCATCACTTCGTTTGAAATATTGTGGGTTTTATGGCAAATTCGCTACTAGAATTGTCCAGCTATCTAAACTAGATAATTGTTGTTCTCCTCCACGATCTAGCCATTCCCCACACTAGTCACCACAAAAGCCATGAACCCCTAGTTGCTTCGACTGGCAAGAGGAGAGAAAGGGAATGGCGAGTGGGCTGTTATGGGTTTTGGGTTGTTTTGGGGCTATGGAGATTGTTTGTGGACCGTGGAAATGAAGGTCTGTGGGTTTTGGTGTGTTTAGAGAAGACGACAGCAACAATGGGATGATTGGTGGTGGTGGTTGGTGGCTAATGATAAAGGGAAGGTGATGGAAGGTGGTGAGTAGCGATAGTATTATGATTTTTTTTTTTAATTGGATTGGCAAGGGAGTGAATGACATGTAGTTCATTATTGGATAGTTAATAGACCAATGGATAAATACAAGAAAAATAAAAGAAATGGAATGTAAATAAAAGAAAAATATAAAACATGCACCAATCTGATAGGAAGCTAGCTTGTTATGTATTATCTATCATGGTAAGAAAAATTCTCAACATTTTATTTAAAAGACCTAATTAATCCTAATGGATGTGGATAGATTAATGATCAATAAGCATCAACTTTTCCAGTGCAGAGATTGCCATACACCAAAATCATGTAAAGATGTCCGTATGACCAAAAAAAAAATTAAAAAGAGGAACCAATGATACTGATTTTCAGCAAAAATTTCCTCAGAATCTCTCTTGTAAATTATGAAACGCAGAGAACCAATGTGGGACTACAGGATTTCAATCAACCAAAGCACCTGAGCAAAATTCAATTTCAGAAGCAAATAGTCAGTAGCTGTGCGTGTGCCTGTAGCCCTTCACATTTAAACTAGAAGGTCGAATCAAGTTTAGTAGGATACTCGGATCTCATCAATATCATTTTTAAATAATGCTGTGAAAAGGGAATCTTATTTCTTAAACTCATATGTACACTGTAGTCATCAGAACAAAAACATGAAAACTAGCTAATGCCAAGAATTTCTACCACTTTAGTCCTTTCCTTGGCATAACTTGCTACTCAGAAACTTTATTCATACGATTTCATCTCTACATCAAACTACCTTGGAAAAAAACTAACACAGACCAATGAGATGATCCAGAAACTCTCAACCTTGTGATGATGTATCGATCCTTATTGGCTTGCTGGGATCAGGGAAAAAAGCAGTGATCTTTGCAGGGTTCAGTGGCTTTTGAATGCAGCTATCTAGGCCTGAGTCGATGAAATCTTTCTGATTAGACTCGGAAGCGACACCTACAATCTGACTCTTAACACCCATCTTGCGTAATTGCTCTGTTGCCTAACAACATATATGATCAGGAGCAAATGTCAATATCATAATTGTATATCAGGATTCAGGAAAATTAATTTAGAGTTGAGGTTACTTTCATACAAGAAGCAATATTTACATTTTTATGCTTCAAGAATAAGCCAAAATGGCCTAATTAGTGAAGGATCAGCTTTCAATTTTATTTAGTTCCAATTATTTTCATCATCATCAAGATCAGAGTATACAGAATCTTTCTTCATTCCCATTTCAGTAGTAAACTATAACGGGGTTGGGGTTTTCAAAAATATTTAAAAGTTGAAGTTGCTAAAAGGAAAAAAAAATACCTGAATTCCAGTCATGATGGGCATTTGATTGTCCATAAGAATGAGATCAAAAGAAGCCCCGGCAAGATGAAGATAAACAGCTTCTTTTCCATTCTTGGCCTCTTGAACTTCCATTCTGAGCAGCTTTTGTTTCCCAACCAACATCATGAATACCCGATTAGTGTCTCGAGCACGAAGATCATCATCAACAATAAGCACAGAGAAATTATTGCTGTAAACAGTAAACATAGAAAAGATAGCGAACATGATGATCTCAACTATAATTCGTAGTAAATAAACATTATTTAAGAGCAAATGGGATATCAAGAGTGTAAAATTTTTGACACATACCCCTGATCTTGGTCTCCAGTAGTTTCAGCACTGATCAGTGCTTTCTGATTTAGCCATTGCTTGACATTAGCAGTCTTTTGGCCACCTTCAGGATTGCTGCTTGTATCAACAGACTCATGAAGAAGACTCGACCTTTGTTCTGTCGCTTCATCTCGATCTTTCTTCAGTGCTTTGATTTCTGCCCCAATGGCAAATTCTAAAACTCGCCTCTTTTCATCAAAGTTTGCAATGCACTGATCCAGTTTGTTAACAAGATTCTGAATTTCTTGATCAATTTGAGCGTTATCTTGACCAGCCATTGATGAATTAATGGTTTCTTGATCAATTTTAGTGTTATCTTTATGATGAATTAATGGTTTCTTGATTGTGAGAGCGAGAGAGAGAGATAGAGGTCTTTTATAGAGCGGTTATTACTGTTAGGGGAGAACTGGTTAAGTTGGTTCGTGGGTGATGTGGAGGTTGGAAAATGGTGACAGATGGCCGAAAATAAATGGCTGGGTGTTCTGAATAGTCTGTTACTCTGTTATCTTGGTTAACTCTAACCTCGCCCCTCACGTAACAGAATTCTGGCGGGAAAGTTAGTTTCATAGGCCAACGATTGAGTCTCAAACTCGGTACCAAAAAGTCCGAGCGAGTGAGGGTCTTCTTGGCACAAACACCTCCCATACATGATACATATGATAATTGGCCATCATTGCTCGCAAGGAAAGATCACGAAATAACTTCCTAAGAGTTGAAGTCCAAAATCTAAAAAATAAAAGGTAGTTTTTGATGAATAAAATCTCCGTTTTATTTATTTATTTTAATGACAAAAGGTAGTTAATAAGTGTTTCTAATAAGTTGATTCTTTTTAAGCTAATTTTGACACACAAGACACTGAGTTCTCACAAATTATATCATAGTAAAAACAAGACTACTTGATATATATGATGTTTATTCTTTCATTTCTCTCCTCTTGGAAACGTAGTGATTGCATCATTGTGAAAGAGGGTTTATCCTTGTATTACCAGCAGGACCCGGAGTGTTGATAGATAATTAAAAAAAAAAAAACACAATTTATCATGGCCAGTACTTTGTGGTTTTGAAGCATGTTCACTTTATATGGCAATAATCTATCCTTTAGGTTCAATACGCTATACAATTATTATCTTCATGTGCTATTTGGGTATAGCAAAATGCGAAGAGACAAATGCCTTGCAACAAAGACCCAGAAAGCAAGATAAAGTTTGAATCGTGTTTGATCAAAAGAAGGAGAAGAGAAAAAATAGCACTTGAAATCATTGGCCTTTTTTCACAATGACGTTAATCAAATGTCCTAATAAAGAAATTGTATCCATTAGGCTTCCGAAGACTTTCCAGAAATATTGAATGTACAAAAATGTTCATGGCACATTAAATGTGGTTCCGTATACAATTTATGCACATTTGGGGGTTTTAACCATATATGATTACAGCTGCAAAAGTGCATCTCGAATTATGCGTGCTGCTATACGAGAAGAAAGCCGACTAAAGACCTCAGGAAGTATTGTGGCTGTGATACCTGGCAAAACTGGAAGAAGTTCTTGTGCAATCCGAGCAACATTTACACCCTGTTGATGCCCAAAAAAGGGAAAAACCAACATAACGTACTCATTCATTGGAAGGCAACCATAATCACATACCAAAATTCAACACTAAACCTCTTTGGCTTGGAGCTGAGCATATTCTATTGCCTAATAACAGGCAAAAGCTATTTTAGACACCATTGTTGCAATTTTAGTTAGTTCACCAAGGGTTACGTCTCCTAAACATTTTTGCAAATGTTGCTTGCAAAAAGAACTTCGCATAAACCACCGAATTGAGGAAAAAGATGCCTAGAAAATGAGAACCGTCCCATTCAGAAATGTGCTTACTGTTGAGCAATCTCTCACAAGTTATCTCTATGGTTGGTAATTGGTATGCCGTTCTTTGGCATATGGACCACTCAAACTTAGTTGGAGCTTTTCATTGCGTGTTCCAAAGTTGCTAAAAGAGCCTAGTATAGGTGCTTATTTTTTTTATTGGTTTACATGCGGAGGGTTAAGTGTTACGTACTGGGGCTGATAAGGCTTTTAATAGTGTATAGACCACTCTACCTAATTGTAAGGTTTCAGGTTGGATGCTCCAACACTATGCATCAACTCTTAAAAACAAACTAAATCCAAAAACAAGATGACATTATACTAACAAAGATAAAACTAAAGCTAAACTTGAAATGTATTAACTAACAAAAAAAGCATGATCTATGAATAGTAAAACTCTGACTTATCAGTTGAAGGTTCAAGTACCTGAGTTGATGTACTCGATATTGAAGTTCCCTCGGTTAAGAATTCAACAACTTTCTGAACATTATTCAAGATAACTTTGTCCTCCTCAGTTATCGTTGGCAAAAGTGCCGCAGGCTTAAAGGGTGCAGGAACCATGCTAAAAATTGGGGCAGCATTTCCCATGCCAAGGATTGCCATAATTTGTACCAACTGTTCCCTTGCAACAGCATCAATGCCCTTTACAATCTGTATCAGAAAACAATGGGCAGACATTTCAGATGAGGCACATGCAACAAACCTGAGAGTACATGACTATGACCAAGAACATTATTCCAAATATTCACAGTTCTAGTAAAAGAATGCCAGTGATTGTGATACCTCATCTAATAGAAATTCTCGGAAAAAGTTCCCCTTCTCAGAAAGAAGGAATGCTAAGGCTGCCCTTGTTTGAATTGGCTGCCTGGATTGAGAGGCACTTGAGGGAAATCCAGGAAAGATATAACCTGTTTGACTTTGAAGCATTCCAAGTCCAGCCATATCCCCACTCATACTCTCTCCGCCTCCACTTTTTGCTGCAGTGATGAAATTTTCAAAGGCTTGCATGACATCAATGAATCTTTCAGCATCAAAAACACCAGATTTCCCGTAAATTGTGTAGCGTAAAGCATTCCTTAGGCGAGGGGACTCATCAGTGAGGAGCCTCTGACAAAAGAAAAGGGTGTAAGAACATAATAACCTATATTTTAGAACATTGTAAAGTATGATAAAATATTATATGGGTACTAAATTATGTGGATCAGGCAGCAAAAGCTTCAAGATTAATGGAATACTAAGTGTTATAAATGAGTTTCACTAGTCACAGGCTTCAATCTTGACTTTTAGTGGAGGTATATAGCCAACAGGTTGAAATTTTTTATCAAATACCAAACGGACAGGCAGATTACTCAACAAAAAAGCAAGGTTTCAGCATGAAAACAAACACAGAATGTTATGAAAATAAAAAAGAAATGTCTACAAAATACCATTTACGGCCACAGAAAACACATACCTGTGCAATATATGGATAGGCCTCGTCTACAATAGCAAATTCAGAATTCCCAACTAATGCTATGCCTTCCAGAACGCCTATTGCCCTAATAATGAGGGCAAAATAAGGGGGTATTCTAAATGGATAATCAAATGTTATTTGTGCCAGATCAGATGCTAGCTCCTGAAAGTTAATATTTTTTGCTCCTCCACCTTCAAGTGCTTGATCAAAAACCTTAGCCAGGACTGGCATGATAGGTTCCAAATTAACCCCCTCAGGAATGAAACCAAGTTTGACGAAATCTTTGACAATGGCTCCATAGTCGCGATGGATGAGGTGAGCAATTGCTTCAATCATTCCATATTTTTGATCATCCGTTAATTTTGTGACTAGCCCTGTGCAGAAAAAAGGCACTTTAGATTCGACATGGTGGGCATGATGAGAAGAAATGCAAATGGATCAGTATAGCATTTGTTTAGAAACCCCATGATGGGAAAAAGTCAAGAGAACACTACAGGATCTTATGGCCAGGAAGCAAATAAATACATGTGTGTATGTGTGTCTGATAATGCTATAACTGAGATATCCCATTCAGTAATGAATTGGAAAACATAATAAATACAGTGAAGAGCAATGATACCTTCTTATTGCATGAAAAAACGTAATGCATGAGGCTCTAAAAATATTTCAAGGGAACATGCCTTTCTAATCTGACACATTCACACCAATTGCTTCCCACTAAAAGTCTGAAGTATGTCATTTGATTGTCACTGCCTCACAGGAATCTGAATCTAGATTTCAAAGTTTAAGTTTGGTTGTATTATGCCAGCTCAATTCTCAAACATCATTACCTTATGTTCATTTAACGAAAGAAAGATCCCATTTTGCTTCTTAAATCAGCAAATATTAAGGTGCTCATAACGCCCTTGATAACTAATTTGAGAATAAAAGGAATTAAGCACATAGTAACAAGACAAACACGATTACTGTCCAGTATATGATTTAGATACTCTGAGTGCAAATAATCCATCAGTTTTTCGTTTAATATTCAAAATCCATCAGTTTTTGTTTAATATCACAACAATCTTGGTTATCATAGCAATGAAATGTTAAGGTGTATTGTAAGAAGAAGGTTGAGTTTGCTAGCTGTATGGATACTAGAGATGCTTGAGGCTTTTATAGTTACATGGTGAAACAAAGCAATTTGCGTTGTTGAGAGAGGTCCATCTTTATAGTGTTTCCCAATAAAGCATGTCAAAATTGTGTACTTGGAAGCCAATTCGTAGAAAGAAGAAGAGGAAGAACAAAAGAAGAGAACAATTCGTATCAAGTGCATTCCACCATTAAGGAATGAAAGAAAAGATGTGTATTCTGATCCAAAATTGCTGGTGAAATTTAACTTTACTATACTGATAAAACAAAATAAAGATTCAAATTCTCACACAACAAATTCAAACAAGAAAATTTATATGATGTTGATAACCATGTCCATAGATGATCTTTCACCATATATGCTTAAGAAGTAGATTGTTACCAAAATCAAGTATGGCTAGCTTCCCATCTGGAGTGCGGATCAAATTCCCAGGATGAGGGTCAGCATGGAAAAAGCCGGTATCAAGTAGCTGTCATTCCAATGAGTTGATAAATTAGATAAAACAGTAGGTAGTTAATTTTATCCACACTAACCAATATGACGTTATATAAACAATAGCGATCAGTGACCTAGCATGAATTCACAACATCTATTAGTTGAAAAAAAAAAAGCACAATAGACAATTGGGATTTGGGAAGCATAAAATAGAGCAAGGCAGATCATATCGGCATTATTTTTTTCATCTTTATGTGTTCTATACACACATTGATATGTCACGATGGAAGATAGGAGAAGACAGGATTTGGTCACTTGAACTACTTGATCTATCAATCTTAGATGCCTCAGCATGCAATCATGATGTAGGATATGTTATACCATCTATAATCCACATGTCCTTATTACAGAAAATAATCACCCAATACCAAATCTTCAATAAGATGCATATGGATTAGTCCATACCATTAACAAGTTCTTTTACCAGGAATCCTAGAGTGCAAACCCATAAAACAATCCCCGAGTAAAATATTGAGGATCTGCTCAAATTTCTGTTTTCAAGCTAATTAAGCAAAAATGTGGGCAAGGGTAATCTAAGGTGCAGAGAAAATACGAGGAAACAATGGGTAAATCAATGGGAAAGTCGTTTTTTGAAGTGAAGCATAGGATACTATGTTTGGTAGTATTAAGGGTTATGTTCCACAGCTCGAACAACAATACCAGACATACTCTATGTTTGACTTCGCCACAAAGCCAAACCTAGTACCAATGCATTCTTTTAGTGCATAAGCAAGTATCATGGAGTACCTGCTTCAGGTAGCATATGACTCCAACATTAACAAGTTCTCCAACATCACTCTCAGTACTTTGTGAGAGCTTTTCTCCCTCAACCCACCCTGTAGTAAGAACTTTTCTTGTAGTATACTTCTCGTAGGTCTTTGGCACAATAACCTGAAATGCAATATTTTAAGTTACCACATGATATCTCCTGCAAATACTATAAGACACTCCTTTTTTTTTTTTTTTTTTTTTGTCCATTTGAACAGATACCACAAAAAAATAAGATATGAAAATTCCAAAATTACACATGCACATGCAGAAAACAAAAAACCTTCCACCTTTGTCCAACAGTGTACAATTTTTTATAGCATTTCTTGGAGGGATGGACTGTAAGGAAACAGAATAACATTCGACATGTTATGACAGTGGCAATAAATTTAATCTAGCAACCAAACATGCACTCAATACACTCAGCAGTATTTATAACAGCTTCAAAAGACAATCCAGCTTCCAGTTTTTTCAACAGTCAGACATTCCTATGATTACTTTAGAAAAGCAGCATCCTTCACTTTAGCACGAAACTAACTCTCACCAACCATTTGCATTGACCATCTAAGCGCAGAAAAAGGACATTGTTTTAGTTTAGCCTTTTAAATAAATAGTTTGTGTTTTGCTTCCTTAAATCATTGAACACTTTAACATGCACAACTTCATTCACCATGAGAAGGTCAGGAATAATGGCAGCTTGACCAAATCTATTAGATGATCAAGCTAAACAGGGCATTGACATGAATTCAACATGCATATAAAAAAAAAAAATGGTTTGGAGCTATCAAACTCACCTGTGGAAGGTCCTTCCTCATCATTTCAGCAAATAGTGATCCATTTCCACCTTCATTAACATAATCTAGTTCCTCAAAGAAACGAGCAGCCCATTCATCAACCAACCCAACTACATCTACCGAGATCTGAAAACGATGAGGAAGGAGGGTTGAGAAAATTATCACTTCAAATAGCAGATGAATAATCCTCCCAAAATGGAATAATTGGTTCAGAATTTCAGATAATTGACTAAACCTACCTGAGGAAACTTTCGGAGAGCCAAACCCAAATTCCTTATGATGAATAGATCAACTGTTACTGTCTCAAGAACAAAAGGTCTCTGTACTTTGACAGCCACTAGGTCTCCATTTTCCTTCAGCCGACCCTTGTATACCTGACCAAGAGATGCTGCCAAAAGAATTCCACAACAAATTAAGCATGTTGAAATTGTGAAGCTTCAGAGACTACCAAAGAAAAGCTAAATTTTATTTTTCATAGAACTCAGAAATTGAGACTACCAGCAGCTATTGGGGATGGAGAAAGTTCAGAATAGATGTCCTGCCATGGCTGACCAAGCTCCTCTTCTAGAAGAGCCATTGCCACATCATCTGGAAATGAAGGAACCTTGGCATATCATCAAACAGAAAAATCAGATATAATAGGGATTAGCCTAATTTCTATTGGATGCTGAGAAGGTTAATTGATAATCATCTACAAAATTAACCATGGTTTTTTGCTTCTTTTGAGATTTCCAATACATTCCAAGTAAAAACCTGACATACAAACATTTTAAAATGATTTCACATGTGGAATATTGAGTTCGTAACTTCACAAACTTGTGCAGCAAATTGGCTATCCATTTGTGAATTTATACCATGAAAGCAAAACAAAGAGCAGAAGGTGCTTGAAGGACAGAAATTTATGACAAATTTATATATAGGGGAAAAAACAATGACATAAAAGGGACATGGTAAAGAGAATGAAGAAAGGTTAAGAGTGGTGTATGCATCATATTGTACGTTGCAGCTAATTATCAGCAGCACATGACAATATTGGCATCCATAACCAACAGTTATGAGTTCAAATGCTATATGGAGTAAGGAGCAACCGTAACTAACTTGCACTTTTCCAAAATAAGCTAAAAAAATGTTTCAAAACAAAAAATTAGGAAATTAGGAGTTCCTATGGCTCATTAGATTAATTAATAATAATGTCCTCCTTTGTTACCCACAACCAAAAGTAACAAAATCATGGCTGACTCTTATTATGCTTAACCCAGGACTTGCAAATAAAAAAGGTCATCGATGGTTATCCTTGTGTGTCTCAAAAATAGCCTCTTTTCTATAGCTTTCAAACACCACCATTTCCGGTACACCTTTAAATGTCCACAAAGTACCACGAACTTGATCTAATTTCTAAACAATTCATGCTACCATCTCCATTTCAAGCATGCTGAATATTATATATACCGCATTTATAGGTTCTAATCAATTTCTGTTTTTTTCTCTTTCTTTTTTTTTCTTGGGTAGAATTGAAGAAGCATGCATGGTGGAATAAATTTTAATGGCATACAGTTATTGCAATGGATAACAAAGAAAGATATATTTTGTGACATTACCTTATCACAAAGTTTTTGTAGCTCAACCATTGCAACGGGTGACAATATATCTGGTCGAATACTCAATGCTTGACCAAGTTTTATATAAGCTGGACCCAAAGAGGTTACAATTTCCCTTAGTTCGATTGCTCTAGCAACTTCATTCTGGTTGTGAAAATAGAAAAAAAAATAATTAAGAAAGAAGGGAAAGCACATACTTCAAAAATGAAACGCAACAAGAGCAACTAGGTAGCAGTTCATGATGTTTTTATGATCACCCTGAAAAAAAAAACAAAAGACATACTTAAAGAAACGATAGGAGGATGCTCAAGATGAAAAGTTCATCCCATTTGCATGCAATAATTGATATTCAAAACTAAAAGAGCATGCTTCTGTATCCCATTTATTTGGGAAATGATGTCTAAAGTTCAAAGAGGAAATTTAGGAAGGGACAAAGGGGACAAAAGACAGCTAGGGGTGAGTATTAGTTCTCACACTCTTCGACAATACTATGTATATAGTTCTTGTTTCTTGAATGATTGTTATAGGAGCTTCAGCTATTTCAATGAGTATCCATATACACCAATTATCCTCATGCTCTTAGCATACCGCAACCCCCACCCAGGCCACTCCCACATAAAAATAAAATATGGGCTTTAGACAGGAAATTTGAAATTTGAACTGGATGCAAGCAACTATTAACTGTGACTGGAGGTTATATAACTTTCAGATAGCTCTAATAACATGTAAATATGGCATTTATTGTTCCAGCAGCTTAAACTCTCATGAAGGAAGCAACAGTGTGCATCAAGCTTCCTCGCTATCTTTTTTACTATATTACCTCTATGAAGAATACTAACATTGCATTACTAAACAACCCAACCCCCCCAGGAGCATGCAAAAGTTGGAGTTTCTCTGCATGTTCTAAGATTGAAACAGATGGCACCAGATCTTCAAAATACCAACCAAATATTTATAGACATATATAATACACAGACAGAATAGCTATCTCCCTAACTATATGCTCATCATGGCGCAAATAAAAACAGAGTGAGAGAGAGGAGTATTGAAGTTTTCCCATAAAATGGGAAAGGTCAGGAAAGGAAGCAAGACAGGCAAGAAAGATTTACCTCCTTGACTTTCTTGTTTATCACATCCCAAGCAAGACGAGAGAGAAAACCCCCAGCAACAGAAAGTAACTGGACAGCTCGAGTTGCAACTGCACGTGGTCGTTTTCCCCAGTAAGCAGAGATGCTAGCAGGATCATACACCAATGGCAAAAACTCACTGCTTTCATCTACCTGCAAGAGGTACAAAACAACACAATAAGATTAGCAACAAGCTTCACAAAGGGCAACTTAGGAGATTTTGAGATCACAAAAGAACATCCACTATTCACTAGCTTCGATGAACCTCTAATAACAGTACACCCTCCAACACATCATGTTTCTTCTTCTTCTTTTTTTCTTTTTTTGATAAATAACATATCATGTTTCTTCCCAGTTTACTTTAAAATTAGCACTGTTAGAACAATCTTCCAGCAGAAGATTCCATGAAAAAATCGCACATTGTTCCCGCCAAACCACCAAGCACACTTTACAGCTAAAACAACATCGAGCCATGCAAACATAGCTTGATCTACATTATCAACGTATTTGATTCAGATATCCAGCTATTGCTATGAAAAGAACATCCCATTAACCAAACAAACATCATTTTCCCATAATTTGCTTGTACTCAACTTACAGAAATGATTGGCTTTCAAAAGCATACACAGAATCAGTAATTTCTCAAACAACCAGAAAAAACGGGCTTCCCCAATTACACTCACTACAAGCAATTACATATGCAGCAATTGAAGTTTTCAGTTATCTCATAAAGCCAATAAAAACTTCAAATTAGTACCTCAACCAGACGAAGCTTGATATTGTCATCGGCAAACTGAGTATCTCTTAAATTTTGGCCTCGAAGTCCTCTCATTAGTATTGCCAAGTCTTCATTTTCTTCCATTTGTGCCCTCACCCTTTTTATCTCCTGCGACACTTCTCCCATCCTCTGTCAATGCCAATTATTAACTCATCACAACTCCGAAAAACAAATAACTGAACTAAACGGAAAATCAATTAAAACATGCTAAATTCAAAATGAAATCGCATTTTAAAACATACATCCTAGCTTTCATTATTTATTATTTTATTTTTTTCTTTGTTTGCTTTTTCATTAATTTCAGCAAGCAAACAGAAATTCGATATAACCAAATGAAATAAAAATCGTTTTCCTTGTGTGAATTGAAATAGACTAAAATAGAAATTAAAACAGAATTAAACACATGCGTCTAGCTTAAATTTTCTTCCATTTTCTCGGCAATCAAAGAGAAATTTGAGTAGACTAAAAAGACTGATCGATCAAACTTAACGTTGACTCCTTTGACTGGTTGCAAATAATCAACAATTACTATCCTTGTTTGAATTCAAATAAACTAAAATTTGAAATCAAAATAAAACTAAGCAAGTAATTCACAATTCATTTTTTTCTCTTCTTTCATTTTTTTTCCTTTAGTTTCTCAGCAACCAAACATGAATTGAACTCGATCAACTTAACAATACCAATCGACGACTTAGTCAACCAAACCACTCATCAGTCAAAACTTACAGTAGAGACACCGTTGACCGGTTTTGACGTTGAGAATTTAGTGGAAACGCCGTTAACAGGCTTAGACGGAGGGGAACTGGATGAGCCATTAACAGTGTTTGGAGAAGAGGATGATTGCGATGATGATTTAGCGGTTCCAGCTTGTGTTGGTTTCGGTTCGGTGGCAACAGCAAACACCCGGTTGGTTGGTCTTCGAACCGGAATTCTATTTGGCAATGCGTGGTAGTTGTGGTGGCAACGACGTGGCTGGATTCCGCCGTAGACGAGCTGTGGAGCCGTTGCGTCCATTAAATGATAGAGAATGGCGGCGTTTACTTTCTCTCTCTATAAGACTTTAGAGAGATGTAGAGGAAGAGGAGCAGATTGGAGTGGTCAGTGACCCACTGGTGCTTGTGATTGGGAATTGTGTTTCGTTTTAAGTGGCTGTTTTCTTTTTTCTTCGAACAGTGAGGGAAAAGGCTGTGGGCTATGGAGGGAACGCGTGGCAACGCGAGAAGCGAAGGCTTCGGGTTTTCGTTAATTTGGAGATTTTAGCCAAATATGTGGAGTGGTGATTGGTGCAGGGGATTTTGGATTTTGTGTGATATTCGTTGTTAGAAATCGGACAGCAGATGTGACTTAATTTTTTATTTTCACTTTTTGGAAACGAATAGACAATTAATTTGCCTGCCTCATTGTCGTGACATGTTGGACGATGGTGAGGCATCAACGAGGGATATTTCATTTCAGGTCCAGCACCGATGGTCCGTCTCTCGTTTTCTCTCTTCCTTAACCTTTTCGTTTCTTTGTCATTACAATCTATGTCTGTCTCCCGCACCACTACCATTGGCTGGGTTTCCTCCGCCTGGGTCGGTGGAGGCAGGGAGCTTTTGGCGTTTTCAGTTTTTCTTGATTTAAGACTGTCCGTAAGAGCAAGGTTTGCTCCAGGACAAATGGGTGTTTAGGTTTGATGATTTTCTTTTTTTTAGACCTTGATAGTGGTCCTGCTAAAACTTAACGGAGAGTAAGTGAGGTTTTGAATTAGGACGTTGCGCTCCTATTATAGTGCTAGAAACGATAATAGATTAGGTAAACGATTTTTTTATACTCATTAGGCATCCGATTCAATTTGAATTTTTTTAATTTAAATTCCTTCTTTAAATTTTTAATGGCACCTTGCTAATAGCATATAAATTAGAGTAAAAAATCCCTTATATCTAATAATCTTGTCTTCTTAAAGTCATTACTTAAAATATTAATACATATTTAAAAATATAAAATTATACCACTAATAATCTATACTAATAAAGAATTTTTTCGTAAAAATCTAGTTAACTAAAAATATCGGTTGGGTGGTGTGTGGACAAATCCTTAATTCACCTCCGTATTCGATCATGGTAAAATCAAAACTCAACCTATTTTGATTCCAATCAAAATAAATGAAAGTCAATCCTATTAGATCGGATGATGTTAGATATCCCGTAGATCTATTGAAATTATCACTCCTAACTATGAACGTAAAAGACAACCTTGAAGATTAAGAAACAAGGGTTCAGGGCTTAATGGACCAGTTGTGGGGTCGTTCGGATCGGAATTAACCAGGAGGTGCATCTTGTTTCGATTTGACCTGGGTTTTAGACCATCAAGGGTTAAAGTGGATGTTAATCAATTTGGACCTGCGAACTACATTTTTTTTTTTTTTATGGGCTCGGCCCTCCTTTCTGGAGAAAAAAGTTCGCTAAATATGTAGCCGACCTTAATAAAATGGAGTTTGTGCATCCTTTTCCTGAGTGATAAAAGAAACAAACAAACAAAAAAAAAATTCAGTTGGTGATCTTAAGGTATTGTTTGTTGCCAAGTATAGAGTGTTAGAAATAGGAATTGAAATTTTATTTTATCTTATAGCTGTTTAGTTAAAAAAAATGAATTGAAAATAAAAATAAGAGTGATAATAAAAATTAAAATTTGATGTAATTTTAGTATCATGTAAAAACAAGAAACAAAATAATTTTTTTAAATAATAATATATTATTTTTATTTATTGTGTGTTAACTACTTTTACCATCATTACAACTACTACTACAACAACCTCCATTGATAGTAATGATAAAAAAAATAAACAAAAAAAACTATTAATATTATTATTATTTCACCACTACTCATTTTAAACCATCATAATCACTTTTATTATACCGTCATTATTGATAATGATGATAAAAAATATTATTATTATTGTTATTGTTATTGTTATTATGCTAATTTTTATTCCACCTCTACCATTGCTTTTATCATAGCATCATTACTAGTCTACTACCTCCTGCTATGATAACAGTATTAATTTTTTTCAAATATATTATTATTATTACTACTATATTCTCTTCATCATCATCCTACTCTACTATTACTGTTACTATCATTGTCATAGTTACCTTTATCATTTTTACTATCATTATAATTGATAAAATTATTTTTTAATTATTATTCTTATTTATATTAAAAATTAGATATTAAAAAATTTAAATTTCATTTTGTTTTTTTATTACGATTCTAAGTAGACTATGAGAATGCAAATATTGCTCCGGTTTTCTAATTTTTAATTTTTATATTTTTATTTTAAAACTTTCATTGATAGTAACCAAATAACATCATAAAGAAAAAGTAAAATATCTAGAATGTTAACTATTCAGGACTCAGACACAGCTCCAATGTGTGCCTCTTCTCCTTTGGATTCTTCGTTATGGCTTTTGCCCGTTGCTAGCCATTCCATTTGTCGTTTGGCTTTAACTTTGGGGTCTAATTTTTTCATGATGCAAGCTGTCAATCTCTTGCCATTATATTATCTCTTTTTTAAAAAAATATATATATATATCTAGAGTGTTAACTATTCATTTTATGTTCATTCATACTTACATTTACAGTGGACTTAGACACAGCTCCACTATGTGTCTCTTCTCTTTTCCTCTCAGCCTTTGGATTCTTCGTTGTGGCTTTTGCCCGTTGCTAGCCGTTCAATTTTTTATCTTCTTGCCTTGTCATTTGGGATTTTGCTTTACCATTGGGGTCTAATTTTCAATGCAAGTTGGCAATCTCTTGCCTTTATATTATCTCTTTATTTTCAATAATTGCCATCATCTTTTATGTCATTGTTTCAGAGAAATGGGGAAACGGAAAGCGAGCAGCAGAGCTAGCAAGCAGAATCTCCCCTCGATTTCGGTTGTTTTCTTACCCTTTTAAAACTCATCTTGCTTTTATTTTATTAGTATCGGCCTATTGGGTCAAAATATGAAATTTGCTTCAGGACCAATGCAACAAAGCCCATTGTTATGCGAGCTAGACTGGGATTGGCCCAAACTTGATTGGGAAATGGGGGAGATCGTTCCATTTTCCAATCGAGTGAATGCATAGAAAAAATTACTTTATTGGATTGCACATCATATTCGATTAATTAATTTCAACTCAAGAGGGTGAGGGTGGTGGAGTCATGGTTAAGAAGATGTATTTACTTTATTGGATTTTCGACTTAAAAAAATTACACATTTTATTCAATCAATTAAGAAGTTGGTCTCATGATTTAAAAGATATATTTTATTAATTTATCGAGTTTATTTTGAATATACTAAGTCTATGTTTCAATGTTTTTAAAATTATATAACTAAAAAAAAAATTTAATGTGGAGTGGTGATTAGTGCAGGGGATTTTGGATTTTGTGTGATATTCGTTGTTAGAAAATCGAACAACAAATGTGACTTAATTTTTTATTTTTACTTTTTTGGACACGAATCGACAATTAATTATTTGCCTCATCATCGTGACATGATAGACAATGGTGAGCATCAACGAGGGATATTCATTTCTGGTCCAAGCATCGATGGTCCGTCTCTCGTTTTCTCTCTTCCTTAACTTTTTCGTTTTCTTTTCGTTTCAATCAATCTCTGTCTTTCACACCACTTGTCATTGGTCGGGTTTCCTCCCCTTGGGTTGGTGGAGGCATGGAGCTTTTGGCATTTTCAATTTTTCTTCGGTTAACACTATCCGTAAGATTAAGGTTTGCTCAAAGACAAATGGGTATTTAGCTTTGATAATTCTCTTTTGGATCTTGACGGTGGTCTCTGTTAAAACTTAAAACTTAACGAAAAGAAAATGAGGTTTTGGATTTGAGCACCGCACTCCTGTTTTAGTACTTAGAAACGGTAATAGATTAGGTAAACAATTTTTTTACACTCGTTAAGTAATCGATTCAATTTGAATTTTTTAATTTAAATTCTTTCTTTAAATTTTTAATAACACCTTACGAATAGCATATAAATTAAAGTAAAAAATCTCATGTATCTCACAATCTTGTTTTCTTAAAGCCATTACTTTAAATATTAATACATGATTTAAAAATATAAAATTGTACCACTAAATACCACTAATAATCTATACTAATAAAGAATTTTTTTGTAAAAATCTAGTTAACTAAAAATATGGGTTGGGTGATGGGTGGCAAATCCTTAATTCACCTCCGTACTCGATCATGGTAAAATCAAAACTCAACCTATTTTGATTCCAATCAAAATAAATGAAAGTCAATCCTATTAGATCGGATGATGTTAGATATCCCGTAGATCTAATGAAACTATCACTCCTGACTATGAACGTAAAAGGCAACCTTGAAGATTAAGAAACAAGGGTTCAGGGCTTAATGGACCAGCCGTGGGGTCGTTCGGGTCGGAATTAACCAGGTGGTGCATTTTCTTTCGATTTGACCTATGTTTTAGACCATAAAGGGTTAACGTGGATGTTAATCAATTTGGACCTGCGAACTACCATTATTATTTTTTTTCAAAATGGGCTCGGTCCTCCTTTCTGGAGAAAAAAGTTCGTAAAAAAAGAAAAAATCCGTTGACGAAACTTTTAAGCATATATATAAAACAAAAGCATAGCAAGCTGATCTTAAAGTTTGCGGGAAAAAAAAAATTAGACTTTTTGAAACTTCTAAGTTTAGCTTGCTATTTGTTTTATTTATTTATTAGTAATAATGAGTTATTCTTTGTATCAATAAAAATTAAATTTATGGTTTTTTATTATAAGTAAATTTTAAAAATTAGATTCTTTAAACCATCCAACAGGAGAGAACTTCTAAAATTAACTTGTTATTTTCCTTTAAATGAGTAATGAATTATTTTTTTTATCAATACATCAATTGAGATTAAGCTCGTAACTTTTTTGTTTTAAATAAATTTTAAAAACTATTCGATTTTAAAAATTAAATTCTTTAAGTATTTTAATTAATAGCCTATTTTTAGTCCCACATAAAGAAATTAAAAGAGTTTTTTCAATGACAAGAATTGATTTTCTAGCATGATATATCATAGACACTTTTTTAATACTCTTTTTTGTCCAGCTTTAATCTTTCATAGTATATCTAACCTGCTAGGTACGAATATGCATTATCCTTGTCGTCACCTTTTCTTTTTCCATATCAGCACTTCTTGATTCTTTCACCCAAAAAAACAAAATTCTACGAGTTTACCACCAAACCAAAGAAGAAGTATCGAATCCAGTGGGATCGAAAAATTAGAAAAAGTGAAAAAGCTTATCCAACGCAAAACAGAGTAAATTATAAATTAGTACTTCTAGTTTCAAGAAACAACTTAATTAATTTCTCTTGTTTTAAAAATTATTATTTATTTTTTTAATTATTGTTGACATCATGCTTAATTTAATATTATTTATATTTCATAAAATCTCTCCCTCTTTTTTTATCAATCTTTCTATATTTTTTATATTTTTTTTAAATAAAAAGAACTAAATTACAAATAGATTTCAAAATTGAGGATTAAATAATTTTTTTTTTTTAAAAAAAGCATGGAATAATGACTTTATGCTTCAAGAAAGAAAGATGACATTCTCAAGAACATTTGAGAGGACATACTCAAGAACAGTAGTGATCAATCATCGAAAAGCATAAGTCTTGGTGTTTGGTAAATGGGAATTCTTAATGTCCCATCAATGAGCTTCCTCGCCTTCCTGGTTCTTGTTTCAACTTTCATGCTCTCACTCTTTTCAATCTTATCGTAAGGTCTCCTCATCTTCAAAAAACTTAGTTTGGATTTGATGATCATCATTAACCTCCTCAGTCCCATCTTCATCATGGCTAGCTGGCTAGGTGTAAAATTTACTGTTAATAAAGAACAAAAAAGATCAATAAACACAAAAATATTAAAGAAAAGGAGAGGGCGAAGATAAGAAAGAGTACCTGTAGAAGATTATAGCCGGTAGACAAGTTAATTAGCAGGTAATTTTGTTGTGATTATAGAACTAAAATTAAGGAGTGAATGGTGGTGCCGCTTGAAAGAGGAGCCAATTAGGAGGATCTAAGGAGAGAGAGTGTGAGAGATGAAATGAGTGAATGCATGTAACTGTCAGAGGTCACAGCGTAAGCATTGAGAGGCAAACAAAATTCTTAGACTAGATAAAAACTAGAGGGATTGATTAATTCTTTTATCCAAAGGGAAGGGACTAATTTATAATTTACTCGCACAAAAATGTAGGGAAAAACAAAAACAACATTCTGCCGTGTTATTTAAAATCCCAACGACTTGAAGAAGTCGTTAGCATATGGGCATGACAGGAACTAGCCACGTGGCGCGAATCCATGCGTGGCAAGAGAACAATGTCTCAATCACACAGTTCAATTCCCACCCACAATGAAACGAGACACCCTCTACGTCCAAGTTCACTAATCTAGAATTCATCCATGCTATGATAATAGTATAGTAATTCCCACCAGCTCCCATCTCTCTCCAGAAAAAAACTGGAAGACACTGTAGCACTAAGAAATCTTCTCTCTCTCTTTGCGTAACACCCCAATTGTTCAAGTCCAAGGATTATCATCAGCCAAAAAAGATTTTAAAGTTTCAAGAGAGTTAAACTTCAGAATGAGTAGTCAAAGAAAAGGAGAATCAGCTCCATATCATGTCCTTCATAAACTTCCTACTGGTGATAGCCCTTATGTTAGAGCCAAGCATGTTCAGGTACATATACACGACCACGACTGAGATGGATATATACAAACAATTCCCTTTCGCTTTTAGATTTTCATGTATGGGTGGGTTTCTGCTGTGTGTGTGGAGGGTTTTAGCTTTTCTTTTGGAGATTTCTTGATTCTGGGTTTTGTTTGTTTCCACGGAAAGTAGTCAATTTCCTGGAAAGTTTTAGGTATTTATAAAAGGTGTTATGTTGTTGGAAAGATTGTTATTTATTTCTTCGGGTTGAACAATTCTAAACTTTTTTCTTGCACCCATTTTATCTTGTTGTACTAATGGTCATTCATTTAGTACTGGGGTTCCATTTCACTGAATCAGTACTGATGGAGTGATCTGGAACTTGATCGTGGTATCAATGATACAATCTTTGTATTTATTTTTCGGATCCCAAAAGTTACTGAAAGATAGTTGGGGTTTTCTCTATCTTTAGGTTTATGTTTGTTTCTTAATTTGGATATATTAGGTGTGTCATTTTAAGTTATTTCAATTATTATGGTTGTCAGTATTTTAAATACATGCCAATCATTGGATTGCGTAACAAAATGATGATCAAACTAACTACATAATAATCTATAAAAAATGTTAAAAACCGATAATTGTTTATAATATTATTTGAATTAATGTTCAAAAAAAAAAAAAACCTAATCTGGATCTAAATAACTTTCAACCCTGGAATTAATCTTTTCGGAATTTGTTTTCTGCTAAGTTTATGGTGCTAATTGCTAAATTAAGAAACCACTTATCTTTACTGGTAAAAGGTCTTGAAGTAATATTTGTTTAGAGGCAATTTTGTAGCTGTGAGAGGCTTCTAGATGTGTTTTAAGCTATTAAATTTTCTTCTTGGTGTCCTTGTTGATTGTTTCGTTTGTCAGTTGAATATAACCTGCTATCTTCTCGTTTTAAAACTTGTGTTATGTTTTCTCCCTGGACGTACAGCTGGTTGAGAAGGATCCTGAAGCTGCAATAGCTTTGTTTTGGAAGGCGATAAATGCAGGAGACAGAGTTGATAGTGCTCTCAAAGACATGGCAGTGGTTATGAAACAGCAAGACAGGGCAGAGGAAGCAATTGAAGCTGTAAAGGCCTTCAGAGATCGCTGCTCAAAGCAAGCACAAGAATCTCTGGATAACGTCCTCCTCGACTTGTACAAGGTGCCTATACTTATAGTATGATTAAAATATTCCTATTCTTTTTGAAAAAAAAGTTGTATGAGTATCATGAGAAGGAATTGCCTACTTGCGTCCTTTCTTCTGTTCTATTTCAACATCTTGATGACGTCATTAATAACTATCATAAATTTCGCAGAAATGTGGAAAGATTGAAGAGCAGATAGAGCTGTTGAAACAGAAGCTTCGGATGATTTACCAAGGAGAGGCCTTCAATGGGAAGTCTACCAAGACGGCGCGTTCTCACGGCAGGAAGTTCCAGGTTACTGTCAAACAAGAGACTTCTCGGATACTGGTATTATATCTCTCTGATCCCCATTGTAGACCTCTGCTTTTGATATTTTATTGTCACTGTTCTGTTTGGAACCTAGAATAAAGGACACAGAACTGTATTTTAAATTTTCTATCTTGTGTCTGGGTTAACACTACAAAAAAAAAAAAAAAAAAAAAGAATTAGACCGTCGCTAATTCAGCAAAAGCCGTCTCTAATTAAAATTAGAGACGGTCCAAAAATCGTAAAATGCCAGTCCTTATAATTTTTGCAAACATTTGATGCAGGGAAACTTGGGTTGGGCATATATGCAGCAAGGAAACTATTTGGCAGCAGAAGTTGTATACCACAAAGCTCAGTCTTTTGACCCTGATGCCAACAAGGCCTGCAACTTGTGCTTATGCTTAATCAAGCAAACACGATATGCTGAAGCACAATCAGTCCTCGATGACATATTGCAGGGTAAACTTTTAGGATCTGATGAACCCAAGTCAAGAAACCGTGCCCAGGAGCTGCTCCGAGAACTAGGAACATCCCAATCCTCGTTGATACTTTCAGAACCGTCAGGATTAAGTTTAGAGGATGCTTTTGTTGAGGGCCTTGACCAGTTGATGAGCGAATGGACTCCATATAGATCAAGAAGACTGCCAATATTTGAAGAGATCTCGGCATATAGAGATCAGTTAGCCTGTTGATTACATTCTTTTAGATAATCTTCAATTTTTTAACCATGAGTTTGTGTATAATTACCGTGAGAGTGACAATAATAAACTGGGAATGATAGTTAATGCATGTAACAAACGAACGCTTGAATGTGTTCAGTATAACCACTCTACGATGTTGTATATTTGTTGTGTTCTTTAAAACCAACATCAACACCAATTACTTTCTCGGTGTTGTATCATTTAATATAGAATCATCTCCATGATGTGGATTTCGAAGTCATTGTAAATTTTTGTCTATCACATAATCCTTTCACAGGGCGAGTTTGAAATCAATGGATGGATTATGATTTTATTTTTATTTTTAAAAAAAGGAAGATAGAATAATAACATCGCAAAAAGAAAATCTAAACAGCAGGGATTCCATATTCATTACACATTAAACAAATACCAATACCATGTAGGAAGAAGAAAATTATCTACTCAGGAGTTCATATAACCTATACAACCAAATTCCAAATACAAAAGCTCTCACATCCTAAGGAGAAAGGAAGGATCTAACACATAAAAAAAATCTCAAGGACAGATCATCAGAAGAAATGCGAAGCAATTTTGCGAAGACAATCCAGTCAGCTCGGCAGCAATAGCAGCATCCAATTAGAGCCAAGAGAAATTAACAATTGAAGCCATGGCAAATAGATAACACTATGATGAGAATCAACGCAATGATAATAGCCAATACAATCAATTTTATCTTCATATTCTGATACCACATCTTTCTTCTTATCTTAGTTCCCTGTGTTCGGAAATCTTGTGCCTATAAACACCAAATACAATTAAATATATCATGCCCTGAAAACAAGATATCAGAGAGGAGAGATGAATGAAGAGACAGGAAAAGGAACAGATATAAATCCAACCAAAGCCACCAGAACAATTCCCGTCTAATTGCTAAAGACTTCCCTCAATATATGCACTCTTCAGAACCATACAAGTCATGTCTGAAATGTTCTAATGATATTAAATGGCAAGTTTCAAAGAAGGCACCCCCCAACCCAAACCCAAGAGTAGAAGCGTGACAGAAAGCAATAAATTACTTGTATTTTAGGCTGAACTAACCTGAGAGCGAAGGTTCTCAGTTTTATCCACCAGCAGCTCAATCTTCTCACCACGATCAAGAACCTGCACGAATAAGAATGGCCTCAACAAATTATATCGCATAGTGTTTTTAGAAATAGTGCTCATCAATATGCAAAATATCATCTCCTTTCCGCAAGTACATCATTACTTGGAAACATACATCCAAGAGTGTTTTAACCTCCAAAATTACATTGGTAGAAAAGTTGGAAGAAAACCAACAACTGCTTTGTACCTTCTCAATGTTTTCCATCATAACACCCTTAACTTCAGAAACCTGAGCCTTAACTTTTGCAAGCTTGCTGATCTCTTCAGGATGATCCACACAATACTGCATGTGCTCCTTCAATTTGGACCTACAATAACGACCAATAAGCAAAGCATGTTTGAAAAGAAATAAACATGCGTGTGTGCGTATATATATATAAAAAAATCAACATGCTTATATATACCCAAACTCTCTGTTCAGGCTATTGGCAACAGCCGTTGCTGCTTTTCCTCCACCATATCTTTTGTTAAAATCTTCCTTAACTCGCTCCAAAAAGGCAATTGGAAGTTGCCTGCCAGCAGATTCAACTGCAACCACACAGTAGGCTGTGGCATCCAACACAATACACAAGAATTAAAGCAATACCCAAAAAGTAGGTGATTAAGAAATGGAAAGCGACATATCTAATTGCAACTAAATCAAAACAAAGTGTTGTGTTTCCTTCGGATAAATCACATACATTGACTACTTGACTTTTGGGTTGGGGGGGGGGGGGGGGGGGGGGGGAGGATGGGGGATTATTAAAAATAGAAAGAATTGATGCAATGTTATAGCTTTTAGTTTCCAAATTTTGAAATTGCAATTAACCGACACAAGCACAGGTCCAATCAATTTGATGCCACTTCAATATGCAAAAGAAAACCATTCTGCCTCAAAAGTCCCTGTTCTCGTAGTTCCATATTAATAATTCAGAGAACTGTATTCTTTACCTAAAGACGGCAATTTAAAGAGTCGGCAACGACAAAAAACTACCAGAAAAGCATGAGTTTGTTATTTTATTTTATTTTAAAAAAAAGAGGCGTATTCATAGAAGTTGGGATATTAATTAAAATCTCCATTCTCCCTCGTTAATATGACATGATGTTGTTCTGAGAGAAATACAATCGTAATTCCATTTGAAAACGATGGCCAATCAATTTCCATTCAAAGAAGATTACCAAATTAAAAAAAAGTTAACACTGGCACCTATTGTAGATAAACACGGTCAGGAATAGTCAAAGTAATATAGGTTAATCCACTAGGAATACAATGCATAAAACTTCCAAAAGAACAGAAATCAGAAGACCGCCAGCCGAGTGATGAGGAACAAAATCAACATACACAATATCAAAACCTCAAATCACAGGACATTTTTTGCAATCTAACCACAAACCATTTCATTTTTTCCAGAAAATGTATCATCAATCCATGAATTCCAATACCTAATCAGCCCACGTAAATCCCCTAATCCTCGGAAATAACAAATGACTAACAAAAACAAATCAATACATTCAAATAAAACGGTCAAACACATGGATCAGTAAAAAAAAAGTCAATCAAATCAACAAGTAAAATCAAACAGAGATCGATCCAAAAAAATCATAAACAAAAACATATAAACGCCAACGAGGAGATCCGGGTCAACAAAAACATCACAGATCAAATTAGCAAAGAGAAACAAAAAAGAATCATCTTACTGAATCCGTTTTCAACGAGGTAATTGAAGGTATGGCCATCGCAATTGTAAGTAAACTTATTATTGGAAGCGGGAAGTTTTTGAAGACATTGTGCAGCGATGCCTGTGAAATTCCCTTTAAACTCCGTGTACTCCGCAAGAATCACCGTTCCTCTTGCCACAAAGCTATAGATCAACGATTGTTGTCCCATCTCTACCTCCTCTCCTTTCTTTCCCGAAGAAAAACACAGAAAGACTCAAACCCTAACAGATCAGATGATCAAATCAAATATGAAAACGCAAAAAAAGAAAAAAAGAGTGAATGAAAAGAGAGAGAGAGAGAGACGATAGGATCGGAGAGAAGGAAAGAGGAATCTATCTGCTGGATTTGGCTGTTTACGTATTTATTACAGAGTAGTATTTGTTCTGTTTTTTTATTTCTATTTTTTTAGGAAGGGACTTATCTAGAAATAGTTGAAATGCGGAACGGATGAGAGAGAGAGAGAGATGAACTTGGGAGAGGAGGGGAAATATAAATCTGTTGAAAGGTGGCTCTCACGCGGTATTTGTGTTTTGAATTCGAGAGATGTGAAGAGTTTTTCAAATAAGAAGTTTCTGTTTGAACGTTTTGGTTAGACATTGGAATTCTTATGAGTTAATAATAATTTTTTTAGTTCTTTGTTTCCACGAAATTCAATTAAGCAACTGCATGCTGTGATTTTTTACTTAAAAAAAGACAGGTTGTTTTAACAATTATACTAAAAAAATCATGACAATAATGGAACATATTTGAAAAGTGAGTTTTAGCTTTTCATTTTAATTATAAGTAAAATATGACTGTGATACTCAAAATAAACATTCATGGTTTTCAATTTCTTATCCATGCCACCTAGAAAAAATCGGCTTAAAAACTTACTGAAATTTTCTAATTTTGAGCTATTAGGATATTTTATATGAATTCGAGAACTTGTTTGTTATATCATTCTATGGCCAAGCATCATTCAACAAACTAGATACAACCACTCACACCATATGTCAATGGCTGTTAAAATGTGAAAACTAGTGATTGTGAAGGGAGGAAAAAAAAAAACAGTGAAAACCAATGTGGGTGCGGTAGAAATTGAAATAAGATAAGTGCTGGCCTAATAAATATTTAATAGCCGCGTAGTTTCGTGTTTATTTATTTACTTTTTCTAACAACATTTGAATTGAAATTGTTGTAGTCGGTTGTTGTTATATACAAGAAGAAAATAAGTTGTGATGTTAACTCACTCGTGGTAGTGCTTCGTTGAATACAATCTGATCAATCTGATCATTGTTTTTTTTTTTTTTTTAAGTTGCTTTACATTTGCTCAAATAATATGAAGTTTCCTTAAATATTCTTCAATTTATTTAATAAAAATGTATTAATTTAGATATAGATGATCTATTTAATAATAGATAGAGATAGATAAGATACTTAAAAGATAGTGATAAAAAAAATATAATATTAAAAAATCTTCCATTTAAAATTGAGAAAACAAAATCTTGATTTTGATAATTGTATTAAAGTTCCTATCTTCTTTCAATTAGACCCTCGTGGTTCAAAGAAACCTTAATCAAGTCTCTTTGTATTCGTAAATACAGCAAAAAAAAATAAATAAATAAAAATAAAAACAAAGTTGTACCAACTATAATCTTCAGCAATTTAGTTTTAAGAACTCCAAACCATACCCATGTACTTCCATGAATTCTCTTAGTTTTTTTTTTTTTTTTCAATGCCAAATACAGTTGATAAAACTAAAAAAAAAAAAAAAGTCTCATGACAACATATTTAAAACTCTCCTTTTCACAATAACTTTTTAAGAAAACTCAGCTAACATTTTTAATATTCTGTGTTTAAAAATTACGTTATTTTGAAGAAATCTTGATAGCTTTTTTTTTTCATTCTAAATATCCAAAATTACAAATACTTATAATAATATCAACATCGCTCATAGATCATTGTATTATATTTTTTTATTCTTATCCTCATGTTATTTTTTATATATTTTTAAAATGTTTAAAGAGTATACATCGTTTCGTACAATATTACTTAAATTGAGCTTGATTATAATTATATATTAAAATTGATATGATTTTTACTTTTATATATTACCTTTATTCTTTCAAACGATACATAACATATTAATTTCAACATAATTATGAATCTCAAGTAAATGAAATACGAAACAATAATTACTCATGGAGTATTGGAGACATTTCCAACAATAAGGGAAAAATCGATGACAATTAAAAAAAAAAAAAAAGAAGAAGAAGAAAGTAAACATAACAAGTGAAGAATAAATGCTCAGCCAAACAGATGAAGATTGGCAATAATAATTGAGGGATGCAAGTATTTAACTAGAAAACAATGCTGAAATAAAGTATCTAGAGATTATAAATGATATTTATTTTTTTAAAGACCAGGCATGATTAAAATTGCAAAGAGAATTTCCATAAACAAATTCATTCTTGCATTCATCCGCCGAGTCACAATATCTATAGGCTTTTTCAAATGTCACATATGTTAATGGAAATTGTTAACAACATAAAAAAAAGCACTTGACTGGACAGTTTTAAAAGATTAAGACGTTAAAATCAAAAAATCAAAAGCTGACGCACTTGATTCAGATAAAAGCTCAGACACCACTCGTGTAATCAATCGTCGTGGATCATTCCCATGGCTGGTTCGCTACGAGAGAGGGGCAATGTTGGAACTATACTGCAACTTTTGCCGCGTATTCTCCTTCATTTTCCCGCCAAAACCAGAAAAATCACATTCCTCTTTACCTCCGCCGTTGTTTCTTTCTCTCACACTCACTTGACCTGAAGCTCCACCAGTGGACATGGAGACGGACATCCCCCTCCCAGACGAGCTTGAATTACTCGAAGCTGACTCTCACTTCTACGAAGACCACCTAGACCCTCCCTCACCCGATACCTACCCTCACTCACCCCAGCAAGAACCACAACAATTACTTCCTCAATCACCCACCGCTCCCGAAATCAACGGCCACAACAAGCGCCCTAGATTCGACGATCCAGATTCACCATTTTATGAAGACGGCGTCCCATCCGATGAGAAGAGAAGTAAAATCGACGATGACGTGGGGCCGGAGATCGATCATGAGGACTGGCTCCGGCCAGTGCAGGACAGGAATGGCGGGGACGAGGAGGAGAGAGTGGAAGTTGTTGTGGAGGAGGAGGAGAAGGAGAAGATTGTGTCTAGATATGCGTCAGAGATTGACGGTGATTTTATTCCGGTGACTGCCCCTAGTGGTGGCGATAGGGTTTATGCAAAGATGTGTAGAGTGGATATGGAAGAAGGAGCGAAGAAATTGCATTTCAAATCACAATCAAACGGTAGGAATCGTAATTGTTGCTTAATCGAAGATCTCATATTTTTATTTTAGCAGTACTGGAAATTTTATAAATAAATAGATAAAATAACCACTTGTTAGATCTCGTCATATGTGAAATTGGCGCATCACATCTGTTTTCACCGTGATTGTCCTTAGCACCACTGTTTTTTTCTTTTTAAATCACACAACTCTTAAGAAATTGGAGTAGCATAAAGAGAAGGGTTATTAGATTACCAGTGGACCAATTTAAATTTCTTATGAATTCTTTTTTAATTTTTCATTTTGTAGGTCTTATATCGGAACCGATTAATGTTCTTTTGCAAAGAATGGAGCAAGAAGCTTTCACCAAGGTATGCGCATTGTATGGTACGTAGTAGTTTAAACTAGTGTCAAAAAATATTGAGAATTTGAAAGAGATCATGTTGATTTTGCTCAGCAAAGAATCAGTGGATTGTATTATGCGATCCTGATTTTGAAACTTTGCTTCAATCTGTGTTTTTGGTTCAGTGGCTCATCACTCACTACACGTGGTGCATGTTATCCTAGATTTGTATTCGTCCATAACACATCAAAGCAAGTTATTTGGGTTCTAATTGTTTGATATCAGGAAAATGTCTAGAGTTCTTCTAGCTCCCTTAAAAATAAGGTTTGAAAACTGATGAAATTAAACCTCATGAGCCACTGTAATTGCTCTATTATTATGGTTTTCCTTGGTAGTTTCAATCCGGTATCTGCTTACAATTTCTGTTGTAATAGTGGTATAGCAGATGAACTGTTAGTGGTCAGGAGCCCTATGGATTTAGCTTAGGTGGTAAGAGGGTGCAGGGATTTTTAGGGCCTGTTTAGGATATAATCTTAACAATTACAATAAACCCCCTGTGAGATCTCTCATACATCATTCTTGTGGTGCTGAAGGCCTTGCAAGCTAGCTCTGAAGATCAGAGTGATGTGATTCTTCCAGAAACACAAGTGATGCACGAACAATTATGGGTGGACAAATATGCTCCAAATTCATTTACTGAGCTCCTTAGCGATGAACAGACAAATCGTGAGGTATGTTGTAGTCATTGGTCAAAGCTCCTAAAAGATTAAATTTACCAGAGGATATTTCTGTTGCTCAACATAAAAAATTAAACATAAGTGAGCCATGGTTCTCTGGCTGAACCCTTTTGGGATCTTGTTATCTTTGCTCACTCCCCAGACACCTGTCCTGTTGCAGGTCCTCTTATGGTTGAAACAATGGGACTCTAGTGTTTTTGGATCTGCAATTAGGAGTACATCAGATGACATTTTGTCTGCTTTAAGGCGTCATTCTTCTATTGCTCAACATCAAAAACTTTCTGATTCAACTTTCTTCAGCAAGAATAAAGGACATAAATGGAGTACAGGAAATTTTAGACACTCCAATAATCTGGAGCAAGAAGATAATAAATCAAAAGGAATCCAGGACTCATGGACCAAGAAGTTGAGGCCTACCGGTCCACCAGAACAGAAGGTAAGCAAATAAAATTATAGATTTTTCCTTAAATTTGGCCTGGATAGAGAAGCAGTAGGAATTGTTTAAAGCATATACATTTTTCCATTCATGCATATGTTTATGCTGTTTTCATGGATTCAATTCATGTAATGATGAATGTCCTCAGATAAGTTGCTGAATTTAGTTCACATATATCTACTCTTGATGGTTCATGGCTTTCAAGATGGATTGCTTGTTTCCTATTTCCTCTTTGATGTGCTATTTATACGAATCTGTTATAAGTTATTTAGATAGTGAATCACATCAATACAACAATGTCTTAAGTTGCAGTCACTGCTTCGCCCCTTTAAAGGGAACAGATATGACACCATAATGCATGACAGTGGTCAAGCTAGATGTGTCTCCAGTTGCAAGAGAACATTCTAACTTCATCATGCAGGGGCTCAAATACTCTCCATGCTTCTTAATTAAAAATGGACTCTTGAAAAGAATGTGCTCGACACATAATCATGTAATTCTAGGTCTTGATAGTGAATTCTCAAATACTTCAAATCAATGATTCTCTGAATAAAATTCCTATTTCATGTGCTGCTCTCATGAAGGAAAATGCTAGCTGCAGTAGCAGGTCTCTAATATCCTCATGGTAAGAAAGGATGAGGGAGAGTTTCACCATTGGACTTCACTGATGTCTTTGGTATGTGGAGACAATTGAAGTTGGTGCCCATGTTTACAGCTGGTGGATTAGCTGTCATGTGCGGTTTGCAACTATTGCTACAATAATTACTGCTTGTGTATCCCTTTATGCGAATTCTAGTGTCACCGTGAAGCATTGCAACTATTTCTCTCTTGTTAGTTATAAAAATAATACCAGTTCTTAATTTTTTGCTTGGATTTATCAAATGGCAATCTAGGTGTCTGCTTTTGTTTTACTGAGTGAATAGCCTGAGTGCTTTGGCATCTCCAATTTGTCAGTATGAATTGCCTTGAGCCAGACATTTGAGTGATAATGAATTCTTGAGAATGGATGAGTTGTACTGTGTGTGTGTTTGCAGTTGGTTGTGCATTGAGATTCTGAAACAGTCTTTCTATTGGATGACTTCCTACCAGTGTCAATAGGTCTATGACCATCCAGATTGTCAACAGGCTGAATTTACTGCACTGCCAAGGCATGAAGCTTGCCTGCCTCTTGGCTCAACAGACACATTTTATATAAGCACACAGATCCCTTTTTTCTTTCTATATACGGAGTTGTGTGATGTGGACATGTATTTCAATAAGTTTCAAAGGGCTTATTAATGAAGATGACAGCCATGATCTTGGATCGTCTTCGCTGTTGCAGCTCTTGTACGTTCTATGTCTAGCATACAGCTAAATTGTCAACTGTTTTTTCCAGGGTCATTTACTCTTTCCATTTATGTGTTATAGTAACTATACTTTTGGTCTTAACTGGTTCTCAGTTTTCAGGTTATTCTGTCATACTTTATACCTTCTAAGATTTTTTCTTTTCTTGTTACCATCTGTGAAACTATTGTGTTTGTGGTAGAGAATAATTATTTAAATTTTTCTTTGTAATAACTAAATTCATCTGATTTAGATTAAAATTTATTTTATATTTTCTTGTTATTTATGATAGTTGTTTCTTTGCTGTCAACTTTTATCTGTGAGAACCATGAGTAATTGAATCTTATGACCATTGCAGATCCTTTTGCTTTGTGGTCCCCCAGGGCTTGGGAAGACAACACTCGCACATATAGCTGCTAAGCACTGTGGATATCGAGTTGTGGAGGTTTTGCTTCTTACTTTTAACTGATTCACACACATACATGCAAAATCATGATTACTTAAGGCCATATTATTTTTGTCTTTTTTATTTGTTAAGTTTGTCTGCATTTCTGTTACCTCAGATTTATTTTGTTTGGACAAAGTTAACATAGAAGAATATTGCAGATATTATCCTGACAGGACATATAGTTAATATATATTATTCCTAAGCTCTTCATTTTGTGCTTGTTTTAGGTTACATTTGATTCATGCTTGTAATCTTAATGTTCTGTGTTTAGTTATTCTAGCCTGCTTTTAAGTCACTCTTGTTTTTATAATGTGAAACTTCACTAACCCTTCTACAATAATCATTTTGTTCTTATTGAGAATTTGAACCTGTACAGATTAATGCTAGCGATGACAGGTCTTCGTCGACGATCGAAGCTAAAATTCTTGATGTGGTTCAGATGAACTCTGTGATGGCTGACTCAAGGCCGAAGTGCCTGGTCAGTTACAATCCTTTACTTTGTGCTTGTTTTGCCCTCATATGGGAGCTGGATATTTAAAGGAAAACACTGATTTCTCTATAGGTGATTGATGAAATAGACGGAGCGCTTGGTGATGGAAAAGGTGCTGTGGAGGTTCTTCTGAAAATGGTACTTGAATGACATCGTAATCTTACATCTTCATGTTTATGAAGTGTACTTGAGGCCAACCTTTTCCCATGCCTTCTTTCTGCTCAGTATTTTTTGTTCTTTATTGTAATTTTTATCTTCTAATATTACCAGGTTTCTCTTCCAGACCTTTGAAGTACTTGGTTTCATCAGATTGTGCTTTTAGAAATTTTTTCTTGTCAACATGCAATGTAGTTGATTTATTCATCGGTCACGGTCAAATAATTTTGGAGACGATACTCTCAATTCTCATCCAAATAATATATTTGATATATTCTCCTTTGTGGTGTAATGGTTGGACTCAATGCTAGTGCTCCTGTTCATCCTACTATAAAGTTGAACACAGTATGGCTTTTTTCTTTTACTAATATTATTGAATTCTAGAGTATACATAGAATTTAGACATGGAGGAATGTGGCATAAATTCTCTCCCTAAAGACATTACAAGGAAAATACTATTCATAACATTTAAGTTGTCCTAAGTTCTTTAGAGGCAGAACCCTGACAAAAATAACCTAGTAGCATTAGAACATAGCAGGCTTCTTAATTTGTGAACTCTAAAATTGTAATTGATTGAAGCAGATTTTCACAAGTACATTGATTTATCGTTTACTTCCTATTCTTGAGTCTACTGAAAAAGGCTATTCTCTGGTTTTCCTAATAAAATAGCCATAAGATTTGAGAATTATAAATTTGTGAGTTGGAATTTCCTTATTGATTTGCTCTTGTTGTGATCTATTAGCACTTCTGATAGAGAAGTTTTTACTGGCTAAGTAGTTTCAGCTTTGCAGTTTTACCATCTATTGGATTGGTTATGTTCGTGCAGGTTTTGGCTGAAAGGAAGGCAGATACGGGGAAGGAAAATGTCACTAAAGGAGAGCAATCCAGAAGGATAACCTCAAAAAAGGGGCAGAAAACAGCAACGCTAGCAAGACCTGTGAGTTTGAAGTGGTCAGAGATGGTTTATTTTGTAATATTTCTTTTTCCCTTTCCTAAATAACCTTTTAAATTGGCTGTCTATGTAGGTGATCTGCATATGTAACGACATATATGTACCTGCCTTGAGACCATTACGTCAGGTTGCAAAGTAAGCGTTTCTTACAAATATTACAGTGTCATTCATCTGGTTTAGTCTAGAAAGTTATTCTTTCGAGAGGATTGCATTGAATGCAACAATAATGTGGAAGAGAGCTCTTGAATCTTGGAATTACCATGTTTTGAAGTTTCATCAAACCATATTATTCTATTTTAGGCTTACAAATTTATGACTTGACTTTCTCATTTTCTTCAACCTGAGGTATTGGATGACAGTTCAGTCTGAGGATGACAAAGATTCAATATTCTTAACCCAATGTAATATAAGCACCTTTTTCAAGTTGCATTCAACATAAGGATCTTGTCTAATCAATTGTCATCTTCAATTTGGATCTCGGCCATGAGGCAACATTATAATTTATCTGTAGATATATTGTTGTCTTCACTGTTCCAACACTTCTAAGTATGAACCATGTACATCAGTTCTTGGTGTAGGTCTATGAATTATTTGTAGTTTACTAGTTTCAAATTATTATGTTGACATGTATATGCTCTCTTTGCAGGGTTCATTTATTTGTTCAGCCAACTGTTAGCCGTGTGGTAAGCAGGTGATGATTGTCGAATGATTTTATTCATAGCTGTAACTTTTTCAGGCATGTTATTGGTAATCACACATCCATTGCTCAGCTGATTCTGAGTATCCTTTCCTAGTTTGTAATTAGACCATGACATCCTCTAATCAGGTTATGCCAAGCAGGATTGGTTGATAAGCTATAATATTGAAAGTTGTCGTATGCAAATTCCCAGATAATTTTTTTTTAATATTTTGTAATTTTTGAAACAATGCAGTGCTACAATCAGGAATTAAGGTATCAAAACTCTAGGGCTTCTGTCTCATTTAACATCAGTTAAGGAGAATGTTCTAGGAGCTCCAGAAATTATCTAATTAATCAAAATCCTCAATAAAGTCTTCTCTCAGTACTCGAGTTTTGCTTATTTATTGATATTCAACATCTAGTCTATATCAGTCTATACTTGATGTGAAAGAAGATTGAAAGCCATATTTTGTTGGTCATCACATGCTCAAATATATTGATACTTGTAAAATTAATTTTCCGAAAATTTGACATCACAGGCTGAAATATATATGTAACAAGGAGGGAATGAAGACAAGTTCCATTGCACTTGCTGCACTTGCAGATTACACTGGTGAGTTATCCCTATTGTACAAGCCATGGTGCTTTAATTTTTTTATCCCGTCTTTGGTTCATGGAGTCTTATAAGACTGTCATAATCTAAATGCTACAACTGGTTTGCAATATGAAACTTTCACATTATCATTTTTCTTGCCTTTGCTTTTTCTTTATTCTAGTCATTTCATTTTAATTTCATAGGATGTGATATACGCTCATGCCTGAACACCCTCCAGTTTCTCAACAAGAAGAGAGAAGTTCTAAATGTGGTAAGCCTTTGATGTCATTGCCATTCTAAACTATTTATTAAATTTACTAAACCTCCCTGATGATGCCAAATACCATGTGAACTTTAAGGTGTATGAGTTTGGGATTCTGTTTTGGCATTGAAGGGGAATTCCTTTGGAATTGCGTCAATGTTTTTGCTTCCTCCAATTTTGCTTAGTCTTATGGATGTCGAGCATAACACAATACCATTAGCATATGCCAAAGAACAATGAAAGCTGCTGAAGAATGAATTCTGCCTGAAATAAATGGTCCTTCATCTTAAGGGAAAAACTTTAATGTGAGAGGGGGCATTGCTCACCAACCCTGGTTTAATATTGTTTTGCTAGTAAGCCATGCCTTTTTAGCTAGTCATTTCTATAATTATTAATTAGCTCCACCAATATTTTTAATCTCTTTTTGAAGGATCTCACAGAAAAGTAAGACATCCAATTTGGTTATGCATTGTATCAATACACTGGCAAAGAAACGAGTAAATGAGAAAATCATATCACCAATGAAATTTGCATAAAATCCTTAACTCTTGGTTGATTTTCAGAAATCTTTTGAGCTGCCATCTCCAATTTTTATTTAGGGTGTTCCACGGGAGATTTAGTACTTTCTAAGGACGATGGTGGAGCTCTCTCTTGGATTTTTTCTTTTTTGCTCCTTTGATTGACTGAAAATATTTTGTTTTTACTTGCCATCAGTTGGAGATTGGTTCTCAGGTGGTTGGTCGAAAAGACATGTCAAGCAGTGTTTTTGATATCTGGAAGGAGGTGACATAAAGATTGTACATTCCATTAAATGTTTCTTAATTATTTATCCATTTCCAGCATCTTTATTTGTGAGTGTGCTACTTGCCTGTAGATTTTCCAAAAGAAAAAAATGAAGCAGGAGAGAAAATCTAAAGGTAGCTGTGGCAGCATGAGCAATGAATTTGACTCTTTGCTCTCCCTTGTATCTAATCGGTAGATAATCAATGCCTGTGAACCTCATATATTCATTCTCCTTTGGTTTAACAACCTCCCCCTCTAGCTTAAATGCTCGCTTTATATGCAGTGGTGATTATGATGTGATTTTGGATGGGATTTATGAAAACATCTTGCAGCTCCATTACCATGATCCAATGATGCAAAAGACAGTAAGCCTTAGCTCCATTCTCTCTTGGATGGCTACCATATGTGACTATTTTATCTCTTACCTAATTCGATCATTATTAAGTTTGGCTTATTTGTAGGTCAAGTGTTTCAATAGTCTTGGTGTTTCTGATGTGATTCACCAATATATTATGCGATCACAGCAAATGCACCTTTATGGTAAACATGTGAATAGCTGTCTTACCTGTAAGCTTTCCCAATGCTGAAAAAGTTTTGAATTTTAAGCTTCTCATGTCACTTTCCACTTCTCTTTTGAGCAGCTTATCAGCCTTATATTGCAATTTCTGTACATCGACTGGTGGCACAAATTCAAAAACCAAATATTGAGTGGCCAAGGTGTTATCAAAGGTATATATATCTCCACTGTAGTTGGCACTTGATGTCAAACATGGTGCACTCACTTTTATATTATCATCATATGTTTTGCAAACCCTTAGATACCGAACAGTGTTGATGGAAAAGATGGACAAGTTAAGGTCTTGGCAGAACAAAATTCCGCCGCATATTTCAAGGCATTTGTCTACTAAATCCTTCGTAGAAGACACTATTTCTCCTTTCCTACATATCCTCTCTCCTCCAACTCTAAGGCCGGTAATTTACTTGCACTTTACAACTTATTTTAGTTGGTTGCACTTTCATACTGTCTCCTGCTCTCAGTTATGTCGCACATTTGACAAATATGCACCATGAAAAACTGGTTCTTATTTTCATTTACATCTTGTTTACAGTCGGTATGTTCCTTTGATGACAAAAAGAATTCTTTTGAGTTGATTTCCTCATTCGTAAAATTTGCGACAAAAAGATTGTTTGTAATCACATGAATTTTCTAAATTTTGTGCACTCTCCTATACTCCTCTTTCCTCTTGATTTGGCAGTGCCTTTTTCTTTTCTTTTGGTTATTGCTGTTCTCATATAATTTGGCATTCTTTCTCAGGTGGGATTGCACTTATTAACAGAAAGAGAGAAGAATGGTCTTGTTCAGTTAGTTAGCACAATGGTATCTTATTCCATGACGTATAAGAATATAAAGTCAGAGCCTCTTTCCAGTAAGCCAGAAAACGAAGCAGCTTTAGATGCCTCATCGCTTTCTTTTGATCCTACCATTTATGAATTCATTAACTTCAAGGTCTGTATTGTTCTTTAAGTCTCTTCGCAGTCAATATGGTTCTGTATCTCATGTTTTCTGTCTGCTTATTTTCTTGGAATTAAACAGGGCTATAGTTCTGGTCATTATGCACTTCCCTTAGTTGTGAAGCAGGTTTTGGTGCATGAGGTGAGTGGCAAAGTGATTTATTGCTTATTTTTGCAGTCTTGGTTGTATCGCAGTCACTTTGAGATCCAAAAGTTACGAAGGAAAAAAATCCTAAGTTGGTTTTCTGCAGACTGTAACGATGTAATAAATGGTTGTCTCGTTCTCTTTCAGTATTAATGGGTTTGTTTGCCAGCAACTAATCAGTGTTGCAACCTTTTCATAGCTTGACTTTAATGGAGGGGTCGTATACCAGTATTGAAAGGCATGTGTGGTCCAAATGATGTGGGCTAATTAAAAGAGTTAATGCATGTGTAAAAAAGTGCTGGCTTTGTCTCTTTGTCATCATCTTATATATAGTCTGTCTCCCATGCTGATGTATGATTTACTATTAGTCTAGTTATCAGTGTAGCTAAATCTTTTCCTTCTTGCATCATCCTTTTAACTTGAACTGAAGTCTTAGGACACTGTTTATACTGCAAACATTACCAATCTCAGTTAGATGTTCATGCTTTAGCATTTGCTTGAGTCAACTGCACTATGTATCTTTTACCGAGACATAATCAGAGTGTCCTCACTCTTCACGTGTTATGGCTTGCATTTGAGTAATGCAGTCTTGTACCAGATGTCAATAAGTCAATTTCATCACCAAATAACATATAAGGTATGTCATTTTGATGAGATGAAGTAGGAAACTTATAATGAATTTGAAAGTTGCAATCATTAATATTTATTTACCAGTGAGAGAGGCTGGCTGAAGGGCACAAATTTTGCTCCTAAAACCAAATAGGAAGACAAGTGAGGCCATATTAGTCTACTGCAAAATCTGAAATCTTTCCTGTAGTTTCTGTTTTACTTGGTCAATCATTCAAGAAAGAAATGTTTGTCACAGTTGTCATTTATATTTTTCTTAACATGAAGAGGAATTCCATCTTGTGCACACTTTATATAGGAATGTCTCAAGGGAAGCTTCCATCTTAGCTTTTTGGTGTAGTGGAAAAGTTTAATAATAAAATTGGATTTCAGGTTGAAAAGCAAAAGATTTTGCAAGCAACCAAACCTGTACATTTAGCAGATGGGTGCAATAAACAAAACATGGAGTTGGTAGAGCGGGAGAGTGGAGTGCAGTCAGCCAAAATTAACCATGCAGCTGCATTTTCTTGTAGCAGTATTGGCAATCAAAAGAGCATGCAATGTGTTCCAAGTGACTCAGCAATATCTCCAATTACGGATTCATCTAGAAGTGCCTTGTCTAATGTAAAATTGAAATCCTCAGGAAATCAAAAGAAGCCTTCTACCAGCTTCTTTGACAGGTAAAAGGACTCGGCAATGCTAGCAAACATCCATTTATCTGTGCCATCATCTCGATTCCTGGAATCTTCAGTTATATCAAGAATCTTAAGTTCCATTTTCATGGTTCTAATAAAGGTTGCTAACTTATCTATGATATTCACATAATTTTTTATCTTTCATCAAAGCAACTCTGGGATAAAAAATATCTGATCCAAAGTTTGCACAAAGATCAGGTTTAAGTTTAACAACACAGCCAATTATTGCAGTAAATCTGGCTAATGTGGACTTCTGCAGAGTCTTGTTTATCACAATACATGCTTTGTCCTATGTTCATCTTCGTCCACACTTCTACACTTTTAGCTGTTCTGTAGGTTACATTTAGATGTAGATGTGTTTGATAAAATGCAGCATAATTGTCAATTCCTGTGATTCTCAAATATGATCTCTGTAAGAGTTGTAATTCTGATTAGGAGAAACCTATCGATATATCCTTATAAAATACATGTTTTCTGAAGCATATTAGAGAATGTGAAGAAACTAAAGTTTATGATTGATTGATTTTTTTATACAAGGTTATGATTGAGAAAAAGTGAAATATATAGGGTGCATTGATAGGCTCCCCTTAAAGTTCTGTTTATGAAGAAGGAAAGCTTTTTGTGTCTAACTCAGACTGATACTAGAAATTATACAGAAACAGTTAGCATGGCAGGCTATGTAGAATAGTAAAATATTTCCTTAGTTGCTGATCTTATTTCTTCACTGTCAAACCAGATTTAGAAAAGCAAGCAGTAAAGGTTCTCAAGATACCGACAGTGCTGGACAGAAGGCCACAACCTTGGAAAGAGATTCACGTCCTCTGATATTCAAATTTAATGAGGTATGTTGCTATGGCTGTTACTCATCCTTTTTTGCTTAAATCTCAGTAGCATATTTGCAAACTGCTAAACTTGTGAATGTGAATATAGATAGTGCGGAAATTGAGTCAACACCCAACTACATTTGTTACTGCATCTAAGTTCTCTTTTGCTGTTCTGTATGATTAACATAAAATGACTAATCTGGCTGTGCAGCATCAACAGTTCTGGTGGAACTGGTAGTGAATTAAATACACACAAATACATGCCCTGCAAATTACAATGCCTTGGATGTTTTTATTATGATAGCACAACTTGAGAATGGCTTCTACAAATGCACAGTATGTTCTAATAATTAGATAGTGGATATTTTGGCTGATTGCCTTGCTGAATGCTGTTGCCATTGTCGTTTTGGCAACTAAAACTATCAAAAGCAAACCAAGACTGCCAATTGTTTTACCTGCAATCGTTACTTCATTTGGTGGCGGCTATTGTTTGAACTTTGAAGCTTTAAGAAAGAGCAAAATCCTAACCTGTTTTACGACCATTGTTGATTTCATAGAAATTTCAGTGAAGTTCATTGCTTGAACAACTTGTATTTGAACAAAAATCAGATCACGGGCTTACTGTATCTTCTCCCCCTCCCTACCCTTATCTGTGCAGGGTTTTACAAATGCTGTAAAAAGGCCAGTACGAATGCGTGAATTTCTGTTATGACTAACTGCAGTGCTTGTAGGCAACACGGCAGTACCAATTTCACATTACAATGTAAAGTTTCATGTTTTCATTCTTTGCCGTCTCAAACTTATGCTGTCCGTGATGTGTTTTTATAAATTAACGTTTGAACTCTCTTTTACCGTTGGCATGGTGCTTCGTCGTATGTACTTAACATAGCTACCCGAGTAATCAGGTGGGGAGCTGAAACAGTTCGTCAAGCTTTATCAGTGATTTGATAGAAGCCAACGTATACGTTTTGGTGATTTTAATAACCCGGAAATAGTAATAGATTTGAGATTCGTAGAGCCATCTCTTTGTCATAGATCAACTATGCATAGCGCAATAATAAACGTTCCTTTTGTCAACTGTAACTTCTTTCGTTAACTATAATAATTCAACGGCTAAAATGTAGCGAGACTCTGGAATTATTGACCACCTAGATTTGACATGACATACATGAATTATGGGGTATTTGGATTGGTATCTCTATAACGTTCTTGTCGTAATGGGGGTGAGACCGCCGACTAATGAAAAGTTTTGTTACCGTGAGTTTATTTATACCAATCTTAGGCTCAGTCTTCGCTATATTCATGTGTTTTGATGCTTGAAATTTTTTAATCTAAAAATAAAAATCCCAGTATCTCAAGAAAGTAAAATATACGAGGTGTCATTAAAATGACCGATAGTTCATGGGTTCTGTATATATTAGCCACTATAATTCACCAGTATAGTTACTATAGAACCTTCTCATCTCTAGCCATGACAAATCACGGACCAGCTGCAGCAAAATAATAAAAATAAAATAAATAAACAAAGAATAGAAAAGAAAATTAAGGTTCCCCAATATGTTCATTAGCTGTAAGTCCGGTAAAATGGTGAATTGACGTGAATTTATGTTGTCTGCACTAAAGTTCAAGACGATGATTCAAATATAAATGATTACTGAACTCTATAAAATGCTGAGATGTTTATCAGAAAGTAAATCAACGTTAAGGTATAAGTATTTCTAATTTTCCAATGCGTCTATATTACTTTGGCTAATGAAATAAATCTAAAAAAAATTACCAAAAAAAAAAAAAAAAAAAACGAAACTAAAAAGTGGTCAACCTCAGTTTTTAGCTGTTGGTCATCATACATCAAGTTTTCCACGATTTTCACTAGTGAGTGCAATCCAAAGCAAAGACACAGTGATAGCAATCAGCCCTGACCAGACATATACAATTGTCGGCACTCTTCCTTTCCTTCCCAACAGACCTTTCACAAATGGATACATGTGAGACAACACCCAGAAGCTGAAAAAGAGTCCTCCAAACAACTTACCCCATTCTGGTATCTCACTGTATAGCGTCCTCGAGCACCCAATAACAATAGCAGCCATGTTGACTATTATGATGGTAAGTGGCATTACGAAGAGACCTGTCCACTTGACGATATAAAGATCGGCAAAAGCATCATTTTCATCGTCACCTGCAGACTTGGAGGTTAACGTGAAAGAAATCTCAATACCAGCTATGACTTTTAGAAGGCCTTGGATCACAGCAATAAGGTGAGCACTAGTGCCACCAATGACCCAAAACTGCTCATTACGCCACCAATCCTCCAGCCCAATACCGGACCATCTTATTTCAAGAAGAGATATCAGAGTTAGTGTTACTGTGATGGTTAAGAGGTATATGAGGAAAGCTATATCCAGGCTCTGGACAATGAATTGTCCTGTGAAAAGGGAAAGCGCCGGGAGGAAGCAGTAAGTGGCTAAGAAGAAGGAGGTGAAGGGGTAAATGCCAACATTGAGGTATGCAATTCGCTGCAAGAACTTCAGTCGCCGGCTTCCAAGAAAGGCATTGTTTTTGGAGAAAAAGATTTCTATTGAACCAGTAGCCCATCGTAGCACCTGGTGAAGGCGGTCAGTGAGGTTGATTGGTGCTGTGCCACGGAAGGCATCTCTCTTCGTTACGCAGTACACAGACCGCCACCCACGGTTGTGCATCCGGTAACCAGTCACCACATCTTCTGTGACTGAGCCATAGATCCATCCTATCTTGTCCCCCCATTCGGTCTTGTCCTCATACCTGTGCTCGACATCGAAACCCCATGTTCAGAATTTGATTGCTGCAACTCAAAAATAAGGCCCTTGGTACAAAGAATCGTAGATATATATAGCAAGGTATTGGTATGATTAATTACCAGCAAGAGATGACAGCAATTGCCTCAGCAACTGTGGGTGCATCTAGAGGAGGACGTGGCTGGAGAAGTGCACCAGGAGGCCTGCCATTCTTTACCGATTTGTGATCAGCAAGTGGCCGTCCTTGGAATTTAGCAACAGCTATGGACTCATTGAACATAGCTGAATTCCCGAACTTCTCTGGCAAGTTCAAGTCCGGGTGCGATGCAAGGGGCTGAGTCTCCGACTCATCTTCTAGTTGAACCTTAAAATCTGGAGCCCTTCTTTTCGTACTGCCGAACATGCCCAAGTACTCGTTTGCCCTTGGTGGGAGGAACCCATATAGTGCATATCTACGAAACATGCACCCTGTTCCTACATAAACTGGACCTTGAAGACCATCCAGTGCTCGCATACTTCCTGTTTTGCAAGAAGGTAACGTTCAAGATGTCTAGATGTTGATTAGAAAGGAATAATTTGCTACATTGCAATGCCTCCAAGTTTCAAAACCAGAAATTTCAGATTAATAAATGAAAAAACTTTCAGTTGTTATTTTGGCTTATCTTTGTAGCTTACTAAAAATTGAATTAAAGGAGGTGCTTTACAAATATATGGATAGAAATGAAATAAATAGTTTATCTAACTTCTCCATGACCACTATAACTAGTTATTTTGGTGGTTTTCAGCAAAGTGTTATATTTCTTATTTGCCCTGTTCCGGTCTGGTTCAGCAGAGTAGTGTCTTCAGGCCTAGGCAGAAACTGGAATCCGTATCATTTCAGGTTCCTTATAGGAGTGCCTTAAGTTAAACAAACAAAAACAAATCCAAAAAACAGATGCAGTAGAAGATCAACATCTTGAAAAGGTTTCAGGCATCATGTGTTTCCTTTAATTCTACAAACATATTTTCACGGACAGAGATCCCCATTAAGACTTGGAAGAGTATAGCCTAAAGCATGCTTAGCCATTTCAAGTTCTTGAAGACTATTTTCATAATAAAAATGTTACCAATTTTATTGCAAAATTTGAAGTTAAATCCAAAGCATTACCATCAAAGAAGACAGTGTTGTGATTTGCGTATCGATCCGATGGGTCGATCCCTTCAAATCTTTGTGGAAACTGGATGAAGCATATGCGATCACCACCACGGTCCATCATAAAGCACATTCCCTCCCTTATAGCTTGACAATTATAGAAGTAATGATCACAATCTAAATTGAGTATGAATGGCCCATTGGACAATATAGCTGAAGCTCGAACCAAAGCATTCATGGCTCCAGCCTTCTTGTTGTGGTCAAAGCCAGGTCTCTTTTCTCGTGATACATATGCAAACATTGGTATCCTAATGTCAACTCCTGTGAAATCTATTTTTCTCTCATCTGGCTGACCCATCACTGGTTCATTTTCTGGGACCTTACTCATTACCTGCATGGTAACAGATTCAAGTTTCAAAAGTTAATTCAGCATCGGAGGCATATTAGAACAGAAGCTGTTCGAGAAACTATTAGATAGGGCTACAGAAGCCATTAAATCAATATGTAACATTGATGCTATTTTCCTCTTTCAATTTGTAGAAAAACTATGTTGAGGGATTGAGTAATACTAGTCAAACAATGAAAAATCGAGTAATGATCGATTTCAAATAAACAACGAAAAATCGAGCAATACTTGACTTGATTTTGGGGCCTTTGTTTCTTTATATTTTGCTTTCATCTTTTATGATGATGAATGGTTGTGAGCTTCTTTAAGCATTTGAATAACTAACGATAGATCATTCCATACTTTTCAATCAATTACTTCGTCCTTTTTCATTCTATAAATTGGTGTGAAAGGAGTCTGTGTCTATTTATTGAGAAATCATTTACTAGTGTAATCACCTGCAAGATTCCAGCATGGTCCCCTTTTCTGTGATCTGCTGTTGGATCTAGCCATGTGCCAGGCCAATGGGTACCATCGGCCATCCATGTAGCTTTAGGGACATCAACCCCCTCCGGTGGCAACACACCACCATTCTTCTCCCTGGCGAGACTTTTTGCCTTCTTCGCATCCTTAGAGTTGAATGATTTGCTTCTCCTTCGTATTACTTCAGGCAGACCATTGATCCTGACCTTGAACTCATCATACTCTCTCTTCATCCATCGGCGGTCCTTGACAAAATCAGGCCGTTTCTTGTTTTTGGTGGGGTCAGTTTTTAGGTTGAAGTAACTATCCGGATTCCTCAGCTCAATGTCGTGTTTTCGACAAAAAGGCACCCAAACCTGTGCATCCAGTCAAACAAAGAATGCCTAGTTAGAGAACGCACAATCTGTAAG